GTTGCTTGTTGTCTTTTCTTTTCCTTTTGGGATTTGTGGTTGATAAATGAATAAAAACAAAATAAAGATAGCTGAATTGTTACCATATTTCCCATTGGTTTTCTCTCATAGAATTATTTGATTGTGATGTAGCAGATGAATTGAAACAAAGAAAGCTTACTGCAGGACTTTAAAAACTTTCTGACTTAGACTTTCTCATGTGAATTTACAGCTTCTTTCTAATGATTGTAACAAAAGTCTTTATAAGGTTTCCACTTCATTTAATGCATATATAATTATAGGCTGGAGAGTATACTCACCTTATCAATCGTTTGACACAAATTCCTGAGATTAAATGCAAATTAACTCCAGAAGTCTTGAGGAAAATGAAACATTAGCCGGCACATTAACCTTCAGTGCCACCATATACAATGTCAAGAAGTTCACATTGTTCTGAGACCTGGCAAAGGTAAAAGAGACGGAAACCATCACCAAATAGGATTCAAATGCTGAATTTTGCTAAATCGCATTTAATACACTTACTGTACCTCACAGATTGAATACATTTCCAAATTGGGACAGATTTTTTTTATTATGAAGTTGCAGTATAACTGCTCACACATTAAATTCCAAGAGAGAGAGAAAAAAACAACCTTTTTCTCAGTTAAACATTCAGGTTTTATAGATTATCTAACTTTTCTGTATTTTTTTCAGCAATGATTCAACTTACATGAATACAGTTACTTCAAAATTGTGCGTGCAGACTAGAATTTTTATCCAACAGCTCATATAGACCATAATAGCTTTTTTGCTCTCAGGCACAGCTAAAAGTACTATCTTTGTTCCCGTCTCTCATGAGTTTGTGTCAGAGTTTTTTTGCCTTTGCTATGTTCCACACTACTTCTGACAAATAAGATCTATGGGTGATCTTTTTCCTCCCTCAGACTTAGATCATTTCAAAGTTCACACCAGAAGCGCCGTGTCAGTCCGAGAGGGACAAGGAGTCGTGTTACTGTGTGGGACGCCTACTTCCTTCGGAGGTAACAGTCTGTCCTTCGTCTTGACATCAGACAGTACGAAGTGTTAGGCAGGATTTTCAAACGCCGGAAATTGAATCTTGTAACTTGCAGTTCACCGTTTATATGTTTATATGATCTCAATAATTCCCTAAATGTCATGAATGGCATGTTTATGCCTAATTTTCTTGTTCTTTAGACCTTACGTATGCATGGATTTTCAACGAGTACCCGTACTTCGTTCAGCAAGACAATCGGCGGTTCGTTTCGCAGCAGACGGGAAACCTTTACATTGCCAAGGTGGAGCCCTCTGACGTGGGTAACTACACGTGTGTGGTTATGAACAGCATCACGAAGGGCAAAGTTCAGAGCTCACCTACATCTCTGATCCTCAGGACAGATGGTAAGACACATCTGAGGGGCCTGTTAAATGACAAGCAGGCCACTCGGCTTTGTTTAATGGAGCTCTCATTTTTTAGGTGGCTGTTATTCTCAGACTAGCATTAATGCTGTTTGTCCTGTCGTGCCTTACTGCAGTTGAGTCACTGAGTGCTAATGGCTCTAAGTAAATAGTTGCTTCTCAATGTAAGCTGGCAAACAGGGTACACAAATCTCCTCTTTGCTGACTTGGCTTTCTTATAATTTGCATTCCTTTTTAAAAGCTTCCCCTCTGCTTTCACATGACTTCTCAGGCTTTTTCTCAGTGGTGTGTTCTTCTATTCTCTGTTATGCTTTCATAGAAAGAGTGAATAAAGATTGCCTTGAATGAATTAAACATGAGTCATACGTCACTGGACCATTACATTGAGTGTTCTGGAGGCTCTACCAGTTAGTTTCCACTCAGTGTACTGTACATGTAGCTGCATAAATTTGAATCCCATTGCGTCAGTGTCTGGTCCTGATCTTAACTGCCTTTCCCTGAATACTGATATGAAAAATAAAACTGCCCACTCAAGCTTTGAAATAATAGATAAAAAGTCAATGGCTTAAAAAAGAATAAATGAATTCCCTCATGCAGAGTTTTAAATTATTTCTTGTCAGTATTTCACAACATCCTCGTGACTGTGAGCTGAAGTGTTGCACCGTGTTGGGTTTGCCCAAAAGAGAATGCTTGCTCCTGTGTCTGTTGTTTTCTACTCTGTTAGTTCTACAGTGGCATTGTTTGGTCCACGGTGCCAGCCGTGCTGCTTGAATGACATAAATAACTGAATACTGAGCAGGTTCTTGTGTTTGTTGTCCATAGGAGTGATGGGTGAATACGAGCCGAAAATAGAAGTTAATTTCCCAGACAATGTACCTGCTGCAAAAGGATCAACGGTAACACTGGAGTGTTTTGCCCTTGGGAAGTAAGTTGTATTCCTCGAAGCATGCTTTCTATCATTCCAGACAAGGAACCCCTGATGTTTGTGTAGCGATGTTGCCGTGGCAATTATATTTCTCATAGTGTGGCATGCAGCCATGGTTGGTGTGAAAGTCACGCAATAAAGCTCTTTTTTTGGTTGGATTAGATTTAGTCTACCCATTCATCCTGAAAAAAACACACTGAGGAGGCTTTTTCACTCCATCAAACACTTCATTACTGCCGGATCGCTACAGACACATGCAAATTGAGCGACAGGCTTTCTTCCCCTGTCTCTTTTAGCCCCGTCCCAGAAATCACCTGGAGGAGGGCTAACGGGGTCCCCTTCCCCAGCAAAGTCAAAATGAAGTATTCAAATGCCGTGCTGGAGATCCCCAGCTTCCAGCAGGATGACACAGGAGGATACGAATGTGTTGCTGAGAACAAGATGGGGAAGAACACGGCTGCCGGTCGGCTGGCTTTTTATGGTACCGTTGCTTTCAACTGTTTGTTGAAATATAACTGAGGCCGTGGTCTAATGGAGACAAAATGAATATTTTTGTTCACTGCCACAAAAATTCCCTCTATCATGCTGGATTTTTTAGTTCAATTAATGCTTAATGCTGGAGTATCATCTGTTGAAAATGCTGAAAATGTACCCAGTGAACCTTTTGTGTCCTCATTAATGATCTTCTCTTGAAATTAGATTTTCCATTTGGAATAAAGAACAAATTCTCACACTTGATCTAATTTAACATTAAATGTCTACCTAACATAAAACTGATTGTCTTATTAAAAAACTAGAATATTTAGAAGAATGTAATGGTTGAAAACGTGACCCTTAATTCTGTAATGTAAAACAGTGATGTCTCTCCACAAGAAATATTGTGCAAAAATGGCTATTTCACATTAGATAATTGTTACAGCTTATTATTATGCAGAAAAATAATCCCTTTTCTATAACAAGGACATCTTTTTCTCTGGAATTCTGCACATTTGGCTCTTGGCTTGCTGGAGCTGCTGTTTTCTTGGGAAAATGACACCTATGAAACTGGCACTGACAGTATGTACAGTGCCTGTGAAGAAGCTGTGCTTATTTTGAAAGCAGCATTCTAGGCTTGAGATTTCCTGAATAGTTGTAAATATATACACAGGCAGCTGAATTCCGGGGTTGATGTTTATTATTCTCAGAGCAGAAGTGACAGGCTGTGTGTGCTCGGTGTTCAATGTTAATTTTTTTATTGCCGGGGGCTAGAAACACTTTAAGTGACGAAATTTTCTATCGTTTCTCCTCAGTCTCTTAAAGACAAACCGGTTATCTTCAGATGTAATGATTTTCTCTGGGTCTGAACTGCCAATCTACATAAATCCCCTTTGAAGTTTCTGTTTTGCAGCATATTAATGAACACAATGCCTCTCCCTTGAAATCTGTGCTCGAGCTTCTCGTGAGATATTTCACAGGAGAATATTCTTCTGTGTCCTCAGCCAAGCCTCAGTGGTTTCAGACCATGAAGGACACAGCCCTGGCCATAGAGGAGAGACTGTTTTGGGAGTGCCGAGCCAATGGCAAGCCCAAACCCTCCTACACTTGGCTGAAGAATGGCCAGCAGCTCCTCTCTGAGGTAAATTGCCGCCTGTCTTCTGCCAGCTACAAGTGCTTCATTCGAAAGACCTAATCTTCTGCCACAGCTCATCCTCGTACATAAAAGGAGTTTGGGGTACAACGTGTTTCTGTTTTCCTCAGTGTAATTCAGAGTTAGAGGAAAGAAGAATGTAAACATCTTGCCGATGTAAGCCGGTGATGAGACATGGATGTAACTGTCAGTGGTGCAGCTTCACCTTGGCAGATTACACAGTCTTAGGGAGTGGATCAGTGTTGTTCCCAAGAGATTGCTCCATTTCGTCTGAAAGGAGTCTAGAGGTCTTTTTCATTATTCATGGTGCATGTTTAAGCTTCTTCAGATTTAGGGACAATGGGCTTAATCTACTGTGAAATATGCTATACAGAGCTGAACACCTCACTCCAAACCACAGGAGAAATGCGCACAGTGTATTCTGAGATCAGTAGCTTTAAACTTGGCTGCCTTTAACTGGCTGCTGAAATTTATTTTCTTGGCAGTGCTATATAAAGCTCAGCACAAACCATACCTCTTTGGAATGAGATGGTGAATATAACCATAGTGTGCTACATTATAATCAAACTGACATTTGAAGTTTCATTCAGTAATTTCTATAACCTTACAAATTGTATCATCAGTGTCAAATGACCAAGCATGGTGTTTACCCGAATATTCTGAGGGTGGATCTCTCACGTTGAACTGATGAACTGATGCATATTGGGTTCAGGGATTTTCCATTTGGATACAGAGCCCTATGTGCCGTGCAGTTTGATATAGTTCTTAATGGTTTAACACAGATATTCAAACTTATATTTTTTAAAAATATATTTAGATATAAGCCATTTAAAGGTATACATGTGGTTAGCTGGGTACCAAATGTTACTTTCATTTGATATTTCAAAGCATAGATAAATAGAAGCATTAAATAATCCTTGTTTGACTTTATTCTTTCTTTAGATACATGTTTGTATGACAAACATTTTGGGGTGAAAACTGCCTTATTTAGACTGTCATCATGTCACCACAGCCTTTCACAGTTCACACTGTAAAATTTGTGAATGTGACCGTGAGATGCTGCAACTCCTTTTAACTTTGCTGCATTCACAGTGTCTGTGAATCTATCTTGCATGGTGCCTTTTTTTTTCTTGTCCCAGCTTCATTACGTCCAGGGCTTTTAGCGGCACGCCTTTCCAAATGAATGTGCTGATCTGTGGAGCGACCACCCGCTAAACTGAATCTGAACAAACTTTTTTTCAACATTTTCTTATTTCTATAAGATGTAGAAAGAAGGTTATTTCCATATGTTATATTTCCATCCAACCACTGCCCATACCGCTTATTCCGAGCTTGGTCAGTGGAGCTATCCCAGCTGGCAGGCCCTGGACAGGTCACCAATCTATCACATGGCCACACAGACAACACACTCATATTCACCCCTACAAGCAATTTAGACTCACCAATTAACCTAACATGCCGGTTTTTAGACTGTGGGAGGAAGATGCATTCATAGAATTTGAAAATAATCTTTGTTAATTTTTGTATCTGTAATCAGGCCATCAAATGGTTTATTGTGCATTTTATTCGATCAGACGCTTTAAATACTTATTTGATTACATGTGTACATTATAATTTGCTCATGGTTCATCAATTTTTATACTCTTACTATAAATTACAATGATAAATAAGAAATAGAAGTGAAATTATGTATGTAATAACAAAAGAATTTCAAAGCTCCCGTCTTACACCTTAGCTGACACACAAAAACACAATAGTTGCATTTTTTGTTCTGTTTGGACACAGTTACCAAGACCAGTTAAAAGCTAAGATGAATGTGCTGTCGGGATACACTGTTTCACCAAATATTGCTGTTTAAAACTCATCTTGATACGTCCTCATTTAATTTATTTCCCAAATGTCATGATACCAGCCTTCGCAACATTATTCAGTCCAAATGAAAAAGTACTAATCTTGAATAAATGGACTTTAACATTCACGGTCCTTATACAGGACTTTGTTAAAGCATCTTTGTCAATAGTGGCCATCTGGAATCTGTCAAGAATTGCCCCCACAAGCTTGGGACAGCTTACCCTTTTGGCAGAACTATTTGTGCTCATGCAGGATATACAACATTGTACAGCAAGTCTCTTCAGAGCTTATTTACTAGTTTAAGTCCAGCACTAACAGTTTACCTCAAGCTTTTCTTGAGCCTTTTTGGTGCCATTATTCAAGTCGTTGGCTCGCTATTCTGAGTTCATGGTAACCTGGAAAAGGTTCTCCATTAGGGGTGCTCACTATTTCTTAGCATTCGGTTCACCCTTTATTCTTAGCGGTCTCCCAGTCCATTTAGCAGAAAAACACTCACAAAATAATGCTGCTATCATCATATTTGACTTTTGGTTATGGAATTAATGAGGGGATGCTTTGTGCCTCATTTGCTCAACACATCAAGCAAACCTGCCGCTGGAACTGTTGCAAAAATAATTCCATCTTTGTTTCATCATAACGGGGGATTTTAGGGCTCTTTTACTGATAGTCTGCAGGTTGTCTTGTGCCTTTTAATGACTTATGGCTTCTGACCTGATTGGTGGGGAGCTGCATTGATGGGGGTTTTTTGTCTCTCCAAAGAAACTCTGAATCTTATTCATCTTTTTATTCAGTGGGAAAATGTTGAAATGCTCATTCTTCTTCTCTCAGTTCTTTCACATAGTAGCTGAAGAAATCGTATTGAATTGTGTTTACAGATTTCTCTCCGGCACGATCATGTTGCAGAAACATCTCAAGAACCAGTGACAGATGTTTGATGTACAATATCTTCATTATGTCATTATTGTAATCATGTAATCAAGATGTTTTGGTCCTTTGTTTTCAGGGATTTAAGAGAAAACTCCAGACACCTTTCGGTTGTCAGAATTTTTCTCTCACACACACACATGACAACAGTTACTATAGTCCAAATAAACCTCAAACAACCATGAAAGGTTTGGGAATTTTCTGTCAGCAAAAGGTACCTTTAGGTCTAAAGCAATCATTTCTTCCTGTCATCATTTTCTTCACAGGACAGAATCCACGTTGAGGACGGAATCCTGTCAGTGTCAGCGCTGACACTGTCTGATGCTGGCATGTACCAGTGTGTGGCTGAGAATAAACACGGCGTCATATATTTTGCTGCTGAGCTAATGGTTTTAGGTAGGATGGCATTTATCTCTTAAACCTTTAAAATTATTGTTACCAAAGAATCTAAAAGGTCATCTTGCTGTCTTTCTTAAAGGTTGTCTGGATTAGTGGATAAAAGGGTCAGTGAGGATGATTTCAAGGGGTCAAATTCAGTTTGAACATGTTTTTCTCATTATAACTATCAAATTCTCAGTTTAAAAAGCAAACTTGATTCATTGTATTTAATTCTACTAAAAGTACAGGTGTTTATCATCAGAGCTTTTCATGAATTCTTTTTTCTCATACATTTACGTGTAGTCATTTTAGCAAACTCTTGAGTCATCAAACATTAACAAGTGATCAAAAAAGAATGAGAGAGATCCGTCTCTTTTATTGCCTCACAGATATTTAAAACGTCTGTCTCCATTACATTATTATTTTATGATTTTCACAGTTCAGATTGCGGCGTACTTTCGAGAGCCATGTGAGATTTCCTGTAGTCTTGTTCTAAAGACAGTTTACTCTTTCCCATCAGCGTCTCCTCCAGACTTCACAGGGAACGTCCTCAGAGCTTTACTCAAAGCCAAAGCAGGAACTACTGTGACTTTAGACTGTAAACCTCAGGCCTATCCCATTGCCAGCATTTTATGGAAGAAAGGAAATCAACCTATCCACACTAATGACAGGTAAAAAACGTTATCTATTCTATATGTATTGGATTAATTCAGAATTAGCACTATATTCTCCATCTTTTCTCAAATACACACAACTATTAACCACAAGGCAACCGTAATCAATTGGAATACTGAGAAGAAAAAAAATGAAATCAGTATTTATGCAGTGATGAAATGAGTCTTTTGTTCTTTCTATCTCATGTAGGATCACACTTTCTCCAGATGGAACACTGAGGCTTGCAAATGTGAGCAAGTCTGATGCAGGCAGCTACACATGCTTCGCTAGAAATAGATTTGGCACGTCAAGTACAACTGGAAGGCTCCTTGTTACGGGTGAGCTCTCCCATCAAATAGGAGATTGTTTGTGCAGTTGACTTAGTAAGCAGAATGTACTGCGCTGAAAGGATTAACATAAAAGAGAGAGAAAGAGCTCCCGCACTTGTGTCAATAACCCAAAGGTGGAAAACATAAGAAAAATTGAGTTTTTACCTGAGGAGCACAAAACTTTTGGAAGTCTTCACAACTCTCTCACTGTAGAAGTCTCAATACTTGTGCTGCGCTTACCCGTGGCACCTTGAAACATGAGAAAAGCGTCCCCGTTTGCTCGTTCAGCTGCATTTTCAGTGGCTGCATTCACACTCTGGGAAGGTCTTTGACAAAATACCCGAACACTGTTTTCCTTAAAGCAGCTGAAACAACCAATTTACTGAAGAAAATAAAAGCACCCTGAGTGGAAGTAATGACAGCGTGAGTGAGGTAGTGTCACAGATGCTTTTGTTGTGGAATGTGTGTGTCTTTTTTTTATTTTTTTTCAATGGAGAGACAGTGAGTGTTCCCTGAGCTTCTTATTGGGTTTGTTAATGCACTGAATGATGCCGTCTGCCACTGTGACTGTCAAGGCCACTTATTTTCTAAATCACTTTAGTATTTTCCACAGCCGTGATGCGGTCGGTGACACACAGTCCTGACCCAGACACTGATTCTTAGCAGATTAAGAACCAAAAAGGACTTTATTTCCATTCAGTTTTTTTTATTGTTAGTATTCTACTCTTTACGGTCATTGTAAGGTAAGAAATACGAGAACAAGTCCTCTTCCTTTGTGTGGTACCTGCTTTATTTGATACCGAGAGATTCATTATCTAGACGCTTAAACTGTGGAGAGCTTCTCCAAATGACTGCTTTGGTAGACTTGAAAGCTTTGCTTCTCGTCTTTGAACACGATGCACAGAGAAGCTTATTACATGAGGTTTTATCTGATCCGCAGTGCATTGTAATTGTTATCGGGATTTCGGAAGATTACATGAGCTGTGTCATCCTGGAGTATTATTCATTTTATGTGATGGCAGGTCGCATATTATCATGGATTATTTGAGACTTTTATGAAACCTTTCTTTATGGCGGCAACACAAGCCTGTGACTAGCCGTACTGCTGAATTACTCTGTGTTCTACAGCGCTATATTGACACTTTTACTTCAGAAAAGTCAGCAGCGGTCTACTTGCAGTTAATCGCCTCCGTTATTGAGACAGATTGGCACATGTACTTTTTTTTCTGCAACAGATCCAACCAGAATTATCCAGGGTCCGGCCGACATGGAGATCATCGTAGGCGAGAGCATTGTGTTACCCTGCCAGGTCGACAGTGATCCCGTCCTTGATGTTTCCTTCTCCTGGGCCTTCAATGGACAGCTGATCACCAAGGGAGATGGCCACTTTGAGCTCGTGGGCGGAGTGAGTGACCCAAAGTCATCCTTCTTTCGGAATGTGCGACTGGGCAGTTGGCACCTCTTTCCATCTTACTCCCCTCCATCCTTGTCATTAGTTAAAAGGAACAGCTTGAGGTTAGATATCATGGGGTTTCTTGGAAGGATTTACCGCAGCCAGTTTTGCTGCAGCTGGTGGTGTGATATCTATTTCAAAATGCAAAATGTCTTATCTGAGCTATGGGGGGATGTGAAAATCTGAAGAAGGAAAGGCAAATTGATCGGTTAAGGCCTTTACGCCTCCAGCTGTAATTTTGTGAATAGTAACAAGAAAATGTTCATGTCAAAATACACTTTTAGAATGAAAGTCATTGTGCAGGTAATGCACTATAGTTGCTTAGCCATTGTGACAGACAGTCATCCTTTTGAGTACATTTCTCCTGTTCCAGTTCAGCCTCAGCTAGCTCATCTACTTTTTAATACCTAGGCTGGTCTTGAATTCTGCTTGACATGGCCTGTTGCACAGCCCTACATAAAAGGAAGTGGATACATATTATTAGATGTGTCTTCCAGTGGAATCAAAGCATGGCAGACACCCAAATGACAAAACACTTACAGAACATCCTCTCACCCTTTGAGAGTAACCATTCTTCCTGTGTGTGTGTCTGACTGACAATGTTCCTATCTGAAAGAAACTCCATCCCAAGAAATGCCAAAATGTCCCCAGTCCAAAGAGATTATCAACTTAACTTTGCTGCTTCAGGGAATTTAATTTCCATAATTAAACCACATTGGCTGAACTGCTGTGTTTCCCTGCCAATGCCAGGAGAACGATTTCACCACTAATTTGCCATTTGTTGCTTACGGGTGTCCTCACAGATGAGAACGCTGAAGGCTTTTTTCCCTCTTCAAATGATGAGACACTGTGTGAATAGATTATTTTGTGTTCATCCTTGCAATAGGTCTCGAAGGTTATACCAGTGACCTTTGCAAAAAGCAAATGAATAAGCTGACACTACGATCAAAGTGAGCATTTTTTGTGAATTAGGGCCTTGTTCTTTTTTATGTGCATGTGTCCCGATATATTCCGATTTATCGTTGAACTGCATTTTTCTAAAAAAAAAAAAAAAAAGTTCTTGCTGAATAACTCCAAAATCCAAACGCTCGTGGGACCACTATTTATTGCACCATATATATGCTTCAGTACATTCTTTAATAAGCTGTCACAGGGTCTGTTATCTTTCATGCTACATTAAGCCTTCTCTCCTCTTTGGTAGAGAACAGCAGGAGATCTGATGATCAGGAACATTCAGCTTTACCATGCTGGTAAATATATCTGTGTGGTGGACACGGACGTGGAGAGCCTGTCAGCCGTTGCTGTATTGATTGTGAAAGGTAAGAAAACCTCCTCTCTGCTTGGCACTCGCTAATTAAAACAGGGCTTGCAGCCAGGCCTGTTTAATTGGTTTCTCTTTTTTTTTTTTTCAACAGAAAATAAAAATCTAGTAGCGACTATAAAGTGGAAGATGGATGAAGCCACTATAAAAAAAGATATCTGTAGTCCGCAAGGGCCACTAAATAATACTGTGTTAGGGAAAATTTGGAGCTTTTATGTTTTAATGAGAATATACAGATTACTTACTTTCGGGGTGTGTCGCTTTTGGGAGGAAAATGGGTTTGTTTTATGTCATGGTTCGGCATGCTCTCATGAAATTCTGTCCGGAAATCATCCCGCTCTACAGCTTTTACGGTCAGTTTATTTCTTGTAGCAGTTGTTTGATTGCATTAAACAGAAGTGGCACCTTTTTTCATTTCATGTTTGTGGCAGTCAAGAACTGGACAAAAAACCTTGAGAGTCACGGCCACAGTTGTTTTACTTCTTCATTTTCTTTTTTGTCCTTGCGATGACCAATTTTCAACGCCGTTACAATGTACTCGGGACCAGAGTGTTTAGCTGTCTGTCTGAGACAGCTCACTCATGCAGTATGCATGGCTCCACAGAGACACAATTGTCGATAGTTATACTTGACAGAACAAAATGACTTTTGTTGCACTTTAGAGGGAATGGCCATGTTTTAATGCTTTTGGAGAGAGAAGGGGTTGTCTTGCTGAGATCAATATGCCAAATAACCCAGCAAATTGACACAACGCAAGTATGCTAAATGTCAAGCGAGGTGAAGGATGATTTGGGTGTCAGGATTTGAAAAGGTTGGATCCATATCTTTATCTTGCAAGTGTACCCACCAGTGATTCGGCCTGGCATGTTTAAGATCTTCTAAGCAAATTGTAATAATGAGAATTCCTTATGAAATGGTTGAAAAGTAAATGGAAAATAATGCTGCTTTTCAAGTAAAAAGCAATAACATGTCAGGGGAAATGGATTGGCCTAGAAGTGACTGGAGACTAACTTGACTGTGACTCAGACTGTGCATTATTTACAGTTCCTGCTCCCGGCAGCTGTCACAGATGTCTCATAGTTTATATCAAATGACTTCAAAAAGCATGAGGCTGGATAGAGAACGTGTGACGGTTGGTGGGGGGAGGCCACAGTTGCATGCATATGTATGGCTCACATATTTCCATTGTCACGATGTCCTCACACCTATGTCACCGGCATTTTGTCATTCGTTCTGTTCATTCTTAGCACAAAGGCTGCGTTGTAACAAAGACACGATACCCACTAAAAAAATATTCTAAAAAGCTTCAAATTCATTTTTCGTAGAAGACAGCCACAGTTACAGTTCTCGAAGGAACAGAATTTTCTCGGTGGTCTTTTCTGCCATGATGATACACTACACAAACAGCCAGTTTGTGAAGAGGGAAGCCTGGAGTTGAACCACCATCCACCACTCTTCTACCTGAGCTACAGCCACAAATGTCACTCACCTTATTTGGAAAAAAAAATTTAACGGTAGCAAACATATAATTGATTTTATTATTCTGAGGTGATTTGTGGTTATACTTATTTCCTAACTGAACAATATTATTTTTGTGAAACTTCCATGAAATGCAGCAGTTTGTATACATACAGACGTGCCCTGTTTCCAACAATAAAATAACAGACCGGCATTCATCTTAATGTCCCAATGCTGCCACCAAGCTTACAATCCTATGTGTCATATTTTCTAAAATAGCCTGAGAGTGATTTCAGCAACAGGACCGTATTACAGTAAAATCAATCTCATCATCAGGGTAATCCCAACTAAAGAATCACAGCTTCTACTAACTCTGGTGTTGATGGATTGTTCAATAATGTGTGATAGCCATAATCTAACAATTCTGTACTTTCAGATGCTCTTGTCGGGAGCACAATTCGTACAAACCAGAGGAACGATTTGATGTCATAGGGAGCAAATTCATGAAACCGAAAGATAAAACGATGCCACAGTGAAGCCAATCCTCCTCCCTTTGCTTTGCCAGGACTGCTTTTGCAGATATTTTCAAGTGTTTGATTTTTGTTGTGAGAGATGCAGCCTTACTGTTGAACATTAGATTTGATATGTTTTGTTCAGCTGGTCATCTCTTCTGCAAAGTGCTGATCGGCCTCTTTGCCTTTGGTAGAATCTGGATAGATAGTTTATCTTTTCATACATCACTATGCATTTGGGGGCATCTGTCTCCTGTCACATCATCAATAAACATGAATAACCAGTGTCCCTGGATGCCAATGCCATACAAGCACATTCCATCATAATGCTTTCACATGTTTACAGATTATGTTGTTCCTTGGCCTCTCCACCGTTTTCCTTTCCCTGCTGCTCTAAAGCTGCTCTGGCCAGTTCCGACTGCGCTGACAACTTCTTTGACTGTATTTTATTACTTCAAACTGTGTCTGAACATTAGTCAGATGAGTGTTGACAGAATTTGGTAAGCTGTAAGCAAAAATGACAAAAAAATCCATCTCTGTTGACCTGTACCTCACAGAAAGGGGTTGTATTCTGTACAGATTGCATAGAATAAGATTGATATCCATGGATGATTATGTGAGATTGAATCATCTGATATCCTTCAACTACAGAAATATGCTCTGCAAAACGTTTGAGTTTTATCTCATCCCTCTTTTGAAATTATAAAGTGATGCACCTTCTGGGCATCTGATACAGTAAATGTAATTTCTTAATGACATGTTTACGGATACTTTTGTGTAAAAATGACAACTTCTTATTCTCTTCTTATTATGACTATACAAGCTAGTTCTGGTATTGCGCACATGGCATGCTATTTCTGTTTTTCAATTTCTTCATGTTTATTTCCATTTATTTTTCATTTCTATAATGCTCATCATTAGTGGCTCACGGAAATGTCCGCCCGCTACAAGTGGAAATTCCCTGTCGAGAAAATCAGAGCTATTGTTTTCAGTTGAATTTCTTTTTCTGAATAATTTGTGTCACGTTATGAGGATTATTTTAAGCGGAGGGGATCCCAAAAGAGTGCAGAGATTAAATATTTACATTCTATTTTTCAGTTACTTTTTTCAAAATGCTGTTTACTTTTGAGCTGCCATGAAATTTTAAGAACTGTAGATTTAAAAATGCAAACCGAAACTATCACCATTTCAACTGCATTCTTTGAGAGGTGAGCTGATCTTGGTGGCACATGTGTTTAACATCAGCAGTATCTTTTTACCAGTTGTTTTAGTGTGACCGCCGCAGACGTTTTTTTAGCGTAGTTGCAGTAAAAAGTGATCATTAGTGTAATTGAGTGTGGACATGTTCTTGCGATCATGAATTTTTGGCAGCTTGTTCATTTCAGGATGTGATTTCCAGTCCTGCTTCGCTCCCTTCCTCCTGGAGCTCTGAAGGTCAAAGATAATTGCCGCTGACACAAAGACTCTTGAGTGATCATCTGTGTTCTTTTTTTTCTCTTTTTTTTTTAACAATGGCCACGGTTAATGTTTTAGATGCCACTCGGTGCTGCCTCACAAACACTCCGCTGGGAGGTGATGGTGGTGATAGAGAAGGTCACTGTGTAAGGATACCATTATGGTCATTAACATTCAAATCCACTTGTGAATATTTCTGCTTATTTGACAGAAGCATCTCTATCATTGTCATTACAATAAAGGGGATTCATGTGACAACAATTGATCTAACAGTGTTCAGGGTTTTTAGTCTTAGTAGTATTTTGATCTCACATATTCAAAACATGACACTCGGTGTGTCTGTTCTAAATTTGTAATAAAGCCATGGATAGCCATTTCTTATTAAGCCCACATTATTTGAACTCTCAGAAGACACTGACAGCATCCTGTTGCCTTAAGCCACTGAAATATAATTAAGAGGATAAGGAATTGATCCTTGATTGTGTGTCCCATTAATATGTATTAACGATGCCAGTGTATTAAACCTTTTTTTTTCTATCAACAGCCTCTAATGAGTTTTACAAAGATCAATATCTCTAAATCCAAAGCTTTAGGCTCAAAGATATGAGGGCAGTACGCACAAGGCTTATGTAAACAAGAAGATTTAGTTCAGTGGGTACTTATTAAGCCTCTATGTTGAGTGCAGTTATACATTTTATAAGTGCAAACCCATTTGTTTCAAGGCACTGAGTGGTTATTAAAATGATAGTTTAATGATTCAAATATTTAGCTTCATATTATAAACCACTTCTGTGAGCAGAGCTTATTGTGGTCTGTCCCACAGCCCCCCAGTGGTCCTTTATTTCTGATGAGCCAACAGGATTATTAGGGCAGCAAGGAAAGAAATCACACCGCTTGATTAGGATGATTTATTTGAACAAAAAAGAGCAAAGATTTTTATGCATTATGACACCCATTTCCATCTGTTACTTTTTACACTTACTCTGCATCTACTTATATCCGCTGTCCAATAGATCAATTACCATGTGGACCATGAAAGAGAGGGATTTAATTTTGGATGACTATTGGAGGATAAATCCTGAATTAGCTCTCAGTTCCTTGTGAAGGGCATTACTTCACTTGGAAGGGTTTTGAAAATATTCTCTGGCAGACTGTGCTGTGTTATAGTTTGAATTGTGTGCCTGTGGTGTCATCTTTTCTTTAGTATGGGTAAAATGCTTACAGTGTCTGTTTATTTGATTGAGCCAGGCCCCCCCACCCCTCCAGATTCCGTGACAGTGGAGGAAGTCACAGACAGCACAGCCCAGCTGGCCTGGAGCCCTGGCAGGGACAATGGAAGCCCCATCACCAATTACCTCATTCAGACCAGAACTCCCTTCACAGTGGGCTGGCAGAGAGTTAACACAGGTATGCACTCCTTTAATGTGAATTATCTTCTCTAGGCACAAGCTTTTGTCGTTTAAATAATTGAAAGATCTCCTCAGGGAATCCCTGGTCTTTCTCCTCCCAGTATGGCAGGAAGTCAGTGCTGGGTCAGGCTAGAAGTTTGGACTCTGGAGGTGGTGGGAATTTAGAGCCTTTTTTAAAATCATTTTTTTAAATACACATATCTTCCCCCCACATTTTAGTTTTTCGGTTTTGTTTATCAATGAAAAAGCCTGGAATTTAGAACCATGTGTATCAAATATAGTGCGTTCAACCATAAAGGGTTAAAAGCATGGCCTACTTCATCCTCTTACTTTTCTTTGCCACTCGCAGAGCATATAAATATATACTTGTATAAATACCATAGTGACCTTATGATTTTTGTGGAAAATTATACGTTGTGGAAAAGAGAAGTCAGAAACCCAATATTGATTAACTTTGATATGTGGGCCACGAGACAGGTTGTGTTGCGGAAATATCTGCATAAACTCAATAAAACTTTTGAAAGTTTTATTGAAAACCTGTGGAACCTGGTTTTCAAGGTTACTGAAGATTAATTGAGCTGGGGGGAAAAAGGTGAGTTGGTCTGAAGAATCAAACTCTGAATTCATGTTTGGAAATCATGCACACTGAGTAAGTAAAGAGGATGAGTGCCCAGTTGACATTCACCAAACATTCAGTTCAAAAAGTATAAAAGTATAAAGTCGAAAACCAAAAAGCTTCGGCATGGATAAATGTCTTGCCGCCATAATCCCATCAATCATAGAATGAGAGGACTGTATGGTTTGCAGTGTTTCTCTTCCCTCGCTGGATCTGCACATCAGCCTGCTGGATTAACAGGTCGAACAGTCAGTGTTTCCCCATAGCTGTTCCTGCTGCCCTCGAGCTGCAAACAAAAGTTGTTAATTGGTGGATATCAACAGTGTTTCTGCAGACAGAAACACCTTTTTTCCTTTAAGCTCTCGTACATTCTCACTGAGCAAGGAGTTCAACTTTTAATCCCCCTTTGCAGTCAGCACAATTTATAGTTCTCTCACTTTAGACTTACATGAATTCGACTGTTCCGTCTCTTTTATTATTTGTACAGCTGTTTCAGCAATGTTTTCTCTATTTTGTTTTTTACTCTCTATAGTCCCAGAGATCATTTACGGGAACACTTTGACGGCCACTGTGGTGGACCTCAACGCCTGGGTGGAGTATGAATTCCGCTTACTGGCCAAAAACAGTGTTGGGGTTGGAGAACCCAGTCCTGTGACTGTCAAGACCAGGACAGAAGACGCAGGTGCGGCTGATATTTGTTGGTTTTATGAACGTCTATCGTACGTGTAAACATGAACAAAGTGGTGGTTTTGCAGTTCCAGATGCAGCACCGGGAGATGTGGGTGGAGGAGGGGGAAGCAGATCTGAACTGGTCATCACATGGGAGGTAAGTCATCTGTCTTATGCTCCAGTCTGCTGCTCAGTGTGCCTGCAGTTAATCCTGTCTTTTTGCGTTTCTTTTTTTTTACATCCCTGAGTGAGGCTCTTAATATGTCTCGCTGAATCAAAGCCCTTGCCCTGTTGGACTTGTGGCTGTCATAAATTTGGGTTCAGTTGAAGTCTCTCTTGCAGCAGTTTTTGTAATTTTCTTAAAGAGTCTGCATGTAAAGCGGCGGCAGTGTTCAGAAAAGCAGAACACTGAGCTTGGCAGTTAATTTCATTTACGAGGTTTGCATCCTTGTTGAACTGCTGCCGGTCAGACAAAGCTACAGCGTTCAAATGGAGCAGTAAACCGAAGCAGGCGATTGGCTGAGAAAAATAACGTTGAAATTGTAGAAATCATTGAGATGTTTACTTGTGTGATTTTTGTGTCAAGTCATTAAATGCGGATTAGCTTTTCCCACTCTAAAAGCAGCCTGTATATTCTGTAAAGACTGCCGTGTCTTTTTCTTCTTTGTGGCATTTTACTGCTCATTTAATTTTATCAGATGGGTCACAAAAGCAATTTCAGGGTCATGCACTCCTGAGTCTGCGATAATTGTGTGAACCCAGTGGTGGAGTGAATGTGAGTGGTTTGTATATGTTTTAATATCACTATAGTTTTGTGTTTCACTCTCAGCCTGTGCCTGAAGAACTGCAGAATGGTGAGAGCTTCGGTTACATCATTGCTTTCCGTGCCTTCGGAGAAATTAGCTGGACTCATGTGGCCACCTCTGCCCCCGGTGCATCTCGATATGTGTACCGCAACGACAGCATCGCGCCCTTCTCTCCATTTCACGTTAAGGTTGGCACTTACAACAGCAAAGGACAGGGTCCGTTCAGCCCGGTGGTCACCATTTACTCTGCAGAGACAGGTAAAGAAATAAATTTAAGCGGGGGCTTTACGGGGCCATAAAGCAAGTTCTCCTCTTGAAAAGGACAAAGAGCATTAAAATGGTTTTACTTCATCTGCGGCGTTAGGCTGTAGAAATCGTTTTACTAGCAGAAAAAAAAGGTTGAAAATGTGGGCCACACTGGCAGCACATTTATGTAAGAGTGGGCAGTTAGCCTTCAAATATCACCACTCTCTACAATGGCTCTGTCAAAGTAAAAACCAGTTGGCATTTAGATCTATGCCACCTCTCAATGTGCTGAGGGGGGGGGCAGTGGGGACTGGGGTGTTAGTCTATTTACCAGCACCACCTTTGTGGGATGATTCATCACAGCAGAGATCAACAAGAATGCCACATGGTTTTAAATGTAAAAATTCAAAGGATTTGCTCTGCTTATCTACGTGTTGTTGGAAGACTCAGAAGCACTCAGTCTCCCTGTGGTCTGTTTTCAGAGCCAAGTGGAATGCCAGCAGGAGTTTGGGCTAGAAGTGTCTCCGCCTCTGAGATTGAGGTGAATTGGCAGGCTCTCTCTATCACCCCTGAAAGGGTTCTGGGCTATGAGGTACTTTATGCTCTTTTAAATCGAAACACATATCACACACTACATCATTCAAATGCTTGTCATCACCCCCTTTGTACCTACAACCCATTACTTCCGAACTGTGTCGCCATGGAAATAGCGGTTGGGTGGTTGTTGTATCAGGAATTACAGACTTCTTGGTGTCGACGTGTCGGGAAAACATGTCAGAGTGGAAGAAGAAAAATTGCTCACGCACGTGCCTTTTTTATGTCGGTGTAATTTAAGAGAGAGTATGATACTGAGCTCATTTTCAAAATCCAAGACGTGCTCATGGATAAACCACCAGAGCCGATCAGTGGCCCTTTCATTGTTCTCCAAATAAAAGAGCAATGTTAAAATGTTTTTGAGCTCAAAACAGAGAGTTCCAGCCATCTAACTATTATAAACTGGGACACCCTGATTGCCTCTGCATGTGTCTGACTAAATAATCAGGGCGATCAAAGAGCTTTAATGTAATGTAGGATGTTTGTTTTTGTTTTTGCTCTGTGAAAACAAAAAATGATTTCAATATTTCTGTGTGAAGATCACATCTGATACACTTCTGTGGTACAAAAGTCAACAAACTCAAATGACAAGGAAATAAAAGTAAATAAGGGGAGGGTGAAGGTCATTTGGCATAATTTATTTCAAGACTAATGGAATGTAATTGGAATTACAATCAAATAGACATTTTGAAAATTCAAAACTTTGTTTGGCATTTGATCCATCGTAAACAATTTAAAAGGATATTTTAATTAGACTGATTTCCATTAGTGGAATACTTAATATGCTAAACCATAATACATAACACAAATGTTGAACAATAGACGATAAATCCATTTTTCGAGTGGCAAAACATTTTTTGAAAAAAGAAAAAAAGCCAATAATGTAATTGCTTCATTGCTGCAGTCGCCGAGACAGAACAATTTATTGCTCCTGCTCTACGAACATTTGTTGCATTTCTATTTCAAAGTCTTGTTTTAAAGCCACATAAGAATTATTATGTCATCATCTTGGGCTGCGCGTGCTTCATTATATTTGACAGTTCATAAACGGCTTAATCAGTTTGAAAATATTCATCTTGTTGGCCACCAAAAATAATTTTTCATTTCCTGAATTGCCATTTTAATGTAGCTGAGATTTGTTGTTGTTGTCGCACAAAGTACACAGACTTTTTAAAGTGTTGAATTTCTAAACGTCTTAAAAGGATGTAACCTGACGCGGTAATGCAAAACAGCATATTTCTCTCCAGCCACAAGAGCACCTTTTAGCACTGCTTTGCCTTGTATGGCACCCATTGTGTAAATGGGGCATTTTGCTTCCATTAAAAAAAATTCCATCTCATTCATATGCCAAGTGACATGTTCTCTGTCTCAAAAAAAGGTAGTTTACTGGGAAGATGACACTAAACCAGAGACCATGGGGAAAGTTAGGGTGCCTTGGAACCAGACCTCGGCCACAGTGAGCGGCTTGGCAGGAAACACGCAGTATTTTCTAACAGTTAGCGCCTTCAACACGGCTGGCACCGGCCCTTTCCTTCCTGCGATCAATGTTACCACAAAAAAGCCACGTAAGTATCAACACACAAAAGCATTTGATTTCGTAACCGCACTGATTAACATGCGGAGGCCAGAACTGCGAGGCCCATTCAGAGCTTTTTAAGCCTTGCAGAAGAGAGATGATGAACGTTTCCATGATCATAAAAGAGAAGTCAAATGGTAGAAAGCATTGTCCTCCTCTGATCTCATTTTTAGAGGGATCTAATAACTGCTGTGAAAGCTCCAGCACTTTGATGAGTCATTTGTTACATGATAATATGAAGAAGAAAAAAATAATTTTATGTCGTGCAGCACCAGCCCAGCCACCGCTGAATATTGAGTGGAGCCTAATTGGCTCTCAGCTGTCCCTCTACTGGGAACCTGTGGTCGCAATGGAATCAGAGTCAGAAGTTGCGGGCTATCAGGTAAGTTTTCAGTTGCATTTCACATGGACGCAAGTATTCGTGTGACGAGGCAAAAATATCAACCTCTGAGTCGTCAGGATGCATGAATAAATATCACCGAAGCATCAGCCCACTCCTTTCTCTTTTTTGCAGCTTTCGTACAGAAGACAGAGACACAAAGAGATAAACACACTCACAACAACCAATTCAACAGCAGAGCTGACCCTCGCAGAGGACGATGACGACTACATTATCCGTATTCAGACTCTGAGTGAAGGAGGACTGGGTCCGGCCTCGGAGCCCATACGAGTCCACAAACTAAGTAAGCTCAGAGCTGATGTTTCTAAGCGGCCGTTGTTGAAAAGTTCCAAAAGAAGACAAACCAAAGGAAACTTTGGCTTATAAATCGTTCTCTTATGTTAAAATTCTAACTCACTGAACGCTTCTTGAGTCGTATTGTCGTCTGTCGACTCATCATTACCAATGTCCCTCGCCGCCCGGTTTGTGCTTCTCTTGGGCTTATTGTTTTGCTAAAATATGCAGCCCAATCCATCTCTGTCACTGACTCTCTTTTTATTATCTGCTGTTCCCATCCTGTGAGACTCAGGGGGGACGCTTTGTTTCCCTCTAAATGTTACTTTTACGCTGTTGAAGTTCTGAGTTAAATTTCTAAAAAAACTAAAAAAGAAAGAAGGGTTCAATTCTGTTTTTTCTTTGAAAGTTCACTTAAAACTATTGCGATTTTTTTCCCTATAATCTTTGGACTCACAATTAAAGGTATGGACAAAACACATTGCCAGGATAAACATAAGGCTGTGCTCATTAAAACTGATGTCTGATAAGTGGTTCGGATTCATTCTTTGGCATCAATTATGTATTTTTATCCTTTTAGAGTATTTTTTATGTGGATATTATTTGATCATATCTGAGATGTTTAGCAGTATAATTAACTCATTCATAGTGTGATATAAGAAATTACTGATGAGAGCAAACTGTGTCCCTTTTAACCAAGTTCTCTGTTGCTTTTGTGTTAAGTAATCAACCAGAAAATCTGTGTCTGTGTCATTTTTTTTACGATGATTCAAAACTTTCTATCTATTTCAGTCTGTGGCAGGTGTTGCAGAGTCTAATTTAACATCACAATTATGAACCGTTCCTACTGATCTGTTATAACTCTGTCGTGTTTTCTGTGTGTGTGTGTGTGTGTGTGTGTGTGTGTTTGCCTCAGGTATGAGTTCCCGTGGTTCTGGAGCCTGGAGTATGGACATCACGCCTCTCTCTTTGATTCTCGCCACGGCGGTATCTACTTTCAGGTCAACATTGTGACACAACTCGACGATGGTTCAACGTTCATTATGTAGTATTATTTCCAGTGTGAAGTAGGTTTTTTTCCCCATAAGTTGTGGAGGTGGCCATGTTTTTCTGCTCTTTTTTAAAAATTATTTTCGTTGTCTAATTTTTGAGAATGACAAATTGTGGTGTTATTTAGAAAGTGTGACGCAGCACCAGAGTAGGGCTTGCTGTGTAACAGTCGGCAAATGCTTGTTTGTTTTTTTTAACTTAAGTGTCTCCTTTGATATTTTTACCAGCTGGTAACAATGCTCCATTTAAAGTTTCTGTTTCTTTTTGACTGTAGAATGATACAGATGCCTTACTTCCATCCATGTGCCAAAGTAGTTTCAGCCTTCTTGTTATCAGAGAGACAGTCACATGCTTTTTTCAACACTCCCAGTCTGTTTTATTATTGTTGTGTTTATCAGTGAAGGGCCTTGATGAATAGCTTTATGTTATGTTTGAATTTTCAGCCGTCGTCCTCACACCTTAATTAGAGAGTTTGAACATGTATATTCTCCTATGCCTGTGCCTTTGGAGATTGTTAAATAGGACTGACTTATGGACATAACATAGTGCAGCAGTTTTCCTTTACACGTCACAATGAAAACCCGAACACAACTCATAGTCATAGCCTAACTAATAATTCAGAGTATCTCTTCCAACACCAAACTGAAACTTGTCTAAAGCAGTCCAGTATTTGTTATCAAAATAATACCAAATATTCAATTTCTACTACTTACAAAAATGAATTTTAATTCCCATTTTGATCATTTTAAGAATGCTGGGGTATGATGACAATTCTGAGAATGTCATACAGCTTATCATAAACTTTATAAGCCAATAAACTAAAACATGAAATCAATTAGCTACAGTTAGCACTAGCTCGTTAACCTGGTTAGCATGTGCTTTGATAAAACTTATTGTCCCTTGTTAAACCAAAAACGTATTGTCCTTTGTTAATGCATTATAGATATTCTACCTACTGTTGAAATCATATTCAACTTGAGTGGACTTTTCAGTAATGGTCTTCAACATCAAGTTCCTAAACTGATGAACAAAAATGTACATGAAAATGTTCATCACATGAAATTGAAAAGCAAGGTTAAAATGTTAAATTTTTCAGTTGTCAGCCCCTGAAAAACACCCCCTTACTGAACTCGTTACAATTCTTGTCATTAAGATACAAGGGAAAAAAATTCTAAAATGTCGATTTGTTTTGTCTAACATCTTTTAACAAGGAGAAAAAAATTCAAAACCTTCCAATTGTCACTGTTTTCAATATTACTGGAGGATTTTTCTTTTCATTGCAGTGCTTCAGCTACATACTTAGGGCACTTCCTAGTGACTGCATTAATCTCTTCACAGTCTTGGTGTTCATCTCACCAAAACTGACAATCCAACATTCACCTCACAACCGCTTCACACCTCACTTCTCACTATGATGCCAGGTATGTGAAGGTGAAAAGAGTAAGCTCGTTTATTTTTTTGTTTTGACACAAATTTGCATTTATAACTGGATGAAACATTACAAATACCTCAAAGATGAATTTTCTTTATTGCTATAATATCGTCATATTTCAGCATTCACTAATGGCTGGCTGTTCAGAATGCCGGTGAAAACTTTCAAAATATGATTGGATTTGTCACACCAAATACTTCTTCTTCAAGCATGACCTGTCTCTTATTTATCATCACAAAACCTAATAAGTTGAAACCCCATTTGTTCCTTTGAATGATAACTTCACTTAGTTAGAATAAATCATCTCAGCTGGATGTCAGCTCAACTAAGTGGAGACTTTTTACTGCAGTTTTTACTGTCTCATAGTCCTCTCTCCTCATGTCAGTGACAAGTGTGAGCCTTGAATATCAAACCAATTTAGAGCCATGGTCATTTCAAATTACCGAAAAAGGCCCCGGTTATTCTGCCTAGTCACCGCCAGACATTGAGGGGCCCCTGTCAGCTTATCAGAATTCAAATATCTCGCGTCTCATATGGCATGCTTTGTCTTATTGATCAGACAAAACAAGCGATCGTGAACTCCTGCTTATTCATATTTCGAGAACATTTTACAGACTGGTTAATCATTGGGAAACACAACTGACTGATTCTTCAATAGTGGAGAAAAATCATTAGTTGCAGCCCTAGTCTTCATCCATCTGGGAGACACAGCCAGTGCCAGTCGATGCGCATCATGAGCCATTGTAGTCAGGACAAGAGGTGTAAAGTGCTGCCAATTGTGCCAGTCAGATAACTGAAATCCAGCCACCAGCTCAGACATCATTTGGCTAAATCTGCATTCAGCTGTGTTTTGATGCTTTGTGAACCCGTCCTATGTTGTGAGTCGTACTGGCCTTTTTGATGTGGTATGTTGCCATTGTTTATTTATGTATTTCAGTGATACCCTGCCGCTCAGGTACTCTGATCTGCTCATTCTGTCTTTCCGTTGCTTGAAGACGACAGGAGCGAGTAGATCAGAAAAGTGATAGAACAGCACACAGGGGGCCTGAGTTGATGAATGGAAAGCCTGATATGTGCCATGATTTAGCAGACATTAAAGCGTCTTAATAAATTACAGCAGGCCTTAGGGGGTTCTGTGCAAAAGGGCATGGGAATAATGATACTAATGACACCCACACAAGACTAATTTATCAGGATTTAGGGAAGACTAAATCAGGACAATTCTATCAAGAAGACACATAGAAGGATGCGTGTTTGTGAGAAGGTGTGCAAGTGTGATTGGGATTGCGAGTGGGATTGTGTAGCCTACAGTGTCATGGATAAGGGTTTTCAAGATGGCCATTCTGCTATCAGCAGAAAACAGTTTAAACTCATTTCTCATCCTTAATTACGGTTGAAGGCGCCGGGCGACTAAAGCCTTGAAGAAATTCAAGTTGAGTGGCACAACATCAGCGTAAGATGTAGATAAGGAGTTTGACCCTGTCGGGAAATGAAATTTTATTTGTGTTAGTTTGTTTTTTTGGTTCATTTGTTTGTTATTGTTTTTTTGTATTATGTAACCGTGGACTTCCAGAGCTAATGGACAAGCGGATAGAAAAAAAAGCATCAGCAGAATCAGAATCCAAGGCTACATCTGGCAAATCTTGTTTCATCAAGCTTGTGTTAAATGTGAAGAGGCTTTTTTTTCTTCATACCCTGGTGGGTGCTGATAACCTGAAGCCGTCTGTGAATGCTGTTTTTCTCCTTTTTTGTGGTTTTATGTGTGATCAATCTGTAATGTCCTCTCATCACAAAATGTGCATTGTTAAGCTAAGGGACTTCACACAGGAAATGCATCTTTCTGGCTCATTTATTGATTACATAAACTGAAAAAAAGGCAACATGTGTGTATTGGATCCGTAGAATCAGCCAGTAATTTGTTTTGTAATGTATTAGTAATGTGGAGATGATTTGATTTTGATCTTCTATTTTTATTGTTTGATATGGTTCCTGGTTGTTGTTTCTTTTTTCTTCTGAAAAATCTGCACAAAGGTCAAGTGTTGTTTAAAATGATCAGTTGGGAGACAGTGTTGCTCGACAAAAGCCAGTGCTGAAATCTTATGCCTTCTTACAGTATATTATACTGTACGTACTATGTGTATTTTTGCTGTTTTAAGCAGGGCCCTTGTCAATTAGGTGACCAAACTCTGGTACTCTGTGTCCGATTGCAAACCTCTGGCAAACATCCAATCTGAAAAATACATGAGCAGAGAATAACTGCTATCACTCACGTCCTTCTCAGTGCAGTGACACAAACACGACCTGTTACAAGGTGGTAAGTCATTGCACAGCGGAGAACAAAAATGTACTCATATTGTGTGTTTTTTTTTTCTTTTTATGCAGCTTCACAATTTTTTAGAGTGGACTTATTTGATCGTTAAATGAGTTTTAAATTTGTTACTCGATAATGCATGGTAATGGGGGCTCTGGCTGACAATGCTTGACCTTTCTGTGGTGACTCCTCAGTATTTCATTGTGCAGGTGATCTCCGTGAGATCGTGGCAGTAATGTTTTCACATTGAAAAGTCATCAGCTGATCTTGATATGCTGAAACTGTGCATGTATGATATTGTTTGGTGCATTTGTGTTTTCTAAATGAGGGACTTAATAAAAACTGTTCACTGAGGATTTTTTTCCCCCTCTCTTTTTTTGAATTATATGTGGGATGGTGTCATTTTCAGCATCAGCAATTTTAGTGTCTTTTACTGCAGGAGGAATTTCACTGGAGCCTCGGGGCGTCATCAAAGCCATAAAATGCATAATATTATGAAAGAGCATATAAATGGCGGTAAATGGCAGCAGTAATGCCCTATTCAGTTGATAAAGAACACAATCTACAAAGGGTTTTGCTGAACACACTAATTGTGTTGTTCCACATCATATGCAGCATTTTCAAAGAATACTGATTCATTTTGGGGGATTATTGGAGCAGAGCATGCATGTGCTGAAGTTTGGATACCTTCCTCAGAACCAACAGAATGACATGGAAAGTTGCAGCGAAATATTGATTGTGCCAGTGTTGCAGAGATGCTTTTAAGATAATAAGAGGAAGAGGACCCTGGGAAGAGATCAATGGGAATGGAAAGTGAAGAAAGGGGAGGTTTCTCCCTACACACCACAGATCATCCATAATGAGCTGGTGTGTCAATATTTTGGCTCTTCCCGTTTTATTGACCAGTAGATCACAGCATTAGGCTGCTGTGGCTTGTTTTTTGCAGCCAACACAAAGGGGAAAGCATAATTGCATTATCGGTATACCCTCATCCATTGCTCAAGCCCTCAAATTGCATCAGATTCAGATGCGGTCTGTTTAGTTCTCACAGATGTATCGTTAAAGGCGTGATTGATGCAAGGTAAATCTCCCAATGCAGCACATGCAATTGCAGAGATGATGCAGATTTAGAACATCGATACTGCCCTCTCATGGTACTAGCATCATGATGCATCAGTCTGTTCAAGCTGAATGATACAAGTCAATTCTGGGAACATAAACCTGTGTGCAGAGTCATTGCACTGGGCGGGTGCAGTACGGACCAGAACCTGGTTGTATCGCCTTAGAATATAAGCACCACGCAGTCGAGTGGCAAAAGGCAACTTTTAAGCAGAAAACTGAGAATAACTTGGTGTGTTAAATGTTTTACATTTCAGGAAAGGATTATGCTATAGGTTATAGATTCTGAGCTGATAAGGTACTGCAGCAAAGAATCTTCCAATGGGGACAGATTATAAGAAAAGAGAGTTTAAAGAGGCCTCAGCAAACTCATAAACAGAAGCACTACAGCAGCAGAATCAGAGTATATAGGACTGTTCATTGCCTTAATTCAAATGGTTTCAGACCCACCGGATGGCTGTGTGGTGGGTCAGAGAAAGGGTGGTGCTGTATATGGTGTCCATTTATTTAATAGTTTTGTGTTTATTTAGGCTACTTTTAAAACATTTACAATATTCACAGTCACTTTAAAAACAAAAAGCTGGAAAAAGGGGCTCAGATTCTAAACTGAAATGAGTTACATTTTTCAGCAATAATTTTAACATCCATTTGCTTAATATTTCCATAAGCTCACATATGGTTATCTAACTAAATGACTGGAACATATTGGGGAATATACAGTCCTACCACTCCACGCTATTAGGGGGCGCTGTAGAGACCCTGCCTCCCTGCGCAGAAGAAAAGGAGAACCGCTACTTCCGGTTGCACGCATGTACACAACGCAACATTAGATCATGGATTCCTCACAGAATAACGACTCGACGAACAGTGGTCTTCAAGACAGTACATCAGATGATGAAAAGGAGTTTTGTCCTGGTTTCAAAGACGCGGATGCTTTCGTTAAAGTAAGTGAACACAACAAAGTGGTCACAGAGTTATTAGCAGTGGCTACGAGTCCAGGTGGACAACGTGGGTACATTTGCTAGTAACGAGCAAGTACAACTAACTGTCAGTACAAGTTTTGATTTAAAGGTTTGTGAACTTAATCAGCAACCCTCTTTGCTAATTAACTTAATATTGTAGCAATGTAAGCATGACAAATAATTTTTAGTAATGTTTCTGTCACGAGCTCAACCGTTGAATTTTAGAAGAACTGTTAGGTGACTGTTATGTTTGATTTGGGATAGTAACACTATATCATATCTTTTATAAATGTTCCTTTGTTATCTATTGGAATGCATTCTATATTGTGGAGAAATTAAACCAGTTGCTGTGTGTGTTTTTCCAGTGTGGATTTGGAGCTGTAGTATCCGCTACCAAAGCATCTGCTAGTTTACCTCAACCTGGGGATGAATATGATTTCTATCGGAGTTTCCCCGGTTTCCAGGACTTCTGTGAAAGTCAAGGAGATAAGCTTTTACAATGGTGAGTACATAGTGTATTCCTTCTTCTGTTGGACAAATAAGAGATAGGTCCTCCATCATCTGTTGAGCCAACTGCTGCTTCATGCAAACTGCTAAATGCCTAGATCTTCTTTCATGATATGTAATAATATTGCAATGTTTTTATGCTTGAATACAATATGCATGGACTCTTAGAGACAAAAGAAGAATGTTCAGCGTTAAAAGATTGTTTTATATTTAGACCTAACAAAAAATGAATAGGTTTGCTGTGTAAATTGAGACGTTCATTGTCATCTTGTTGTGTGTGTTTTCAGCATGGCTCAGATTATGCAGTACCACGGCTGCAGGTCTCAGGTCAGAGACAGGAACAAGATCACGGGGCTGGAGGAGAGGTTTGACCTTGTTGTGGACGCAAATGAAGTTATTCTTGAAAGAGCGGTATGACCTGCGCCTTCAGTGTGACTCTATTCAATAAAAGTGAAAACAAAAGAAGGAAATGAATAAACACGGCGTCTGATTTTCAGGGGATTCTCCTCGATGAAGCCGATGGAGTGAACAGGAGCCAAAAGCCTGTCATGCCTGCTGGATTTCAGCCCCCCAAAATAGTTGTTTCCAGCTGGAATCGAAAGGTTCGCTCAGTGTCCATCTTTGGCCTGTTATGTTATATGTGACAGTCCTCTCATTCATTTTCTTAAAGCACTAAAAGGTTTTTTTTTTTAGACGTGTCATAAATATTAAGTCAGGAGCGTAACTGTAGACAATCATTTAATTTATCAGGGTTCCAGCTCTGGGAGTCGTTCTGAGACCTTCAGACTGCTCCACGCCAAGAATATTGTGAGGCCGCAGCTGAAATTCAAGGAAAAAATTGACAACAGCAACACACCTTTTATTCCAAAGATATTCATCAAGCCCAATGCTGTAAAGCCACTTCCATCCTGTAAGACACATCCTCCACTCTGATTCAGAATTAGTCTTTGGACTTTTTTTAACATTTGTTAATACATTTTATTGATATTTCTAGCTAATTTGATTTAATTTCCATTTATAGATTTCACCAACAAACAAATACGGAAGGAGAGGCCGGAGGACGTTGATGTTCCAGCTGCCCTGGCTGACTTCATTCACCAGCAGAGAACTCAGGAAAACACAGAAGACATGTGGGTTATACTTTGTAACATTTGGTCTATTGCTGTCTCTTGTTGTCTATCTAATCGTAGGGGTTTGCTCCATGTAGGTTTGCACACCCATACCAGTATGAGCTGGACCATATTTCCATACCAGAAAACCTTTTGTCCAAACCAGAACCTCAGGTAACAAAGTCATAGTCGCAGTGATGGTATAAGACAGTCCTGGATAGGCTTCTGTGTAATCTGTTATCTGCCTGTTCTTTTTAGATGTACAAGCCAATTTCGGAGACAAATTTAACGTTCATCAACTCACTGGAGAACCTGGTTGCTCTGAATGAGAAGCTGTGCAAATTGTCTGAATTTGCAGTGGACCTTGAGGTACAAATATCCTATGTTTGATTTCATTTCACCCAGAAAGCCTAAAAAATATTGACATTTCTGAGGCCGTAGATTAAGAGAAAGTTCACTATTGACAACTTATGGATGCAACTGTTCATTTTTTGAAGGGTGTCGTGCTATTCAAATGTTCCTCTATCGCAGCACCACTCCTACAGGAGTTTCCTCGGCCTCACCTGTCTGATGCAGATCTCCACCAGAGAGGAGGACTTCATCATCGACACCCTGGAGCTTCGCAGCGAGATGTACATCCTGAACGAAGGGTTCACAGACCCGGCTATAGTCAAGGTGGTAGAGCCGTCCATTGAATGGCCTTTCTTCATTCCCTCTGAAATAGACTGGTTTTTGGTTGGATAACAGCCATTATTCCACCTACACAGTGATATAGGTCACAATTTAAAAAAGAAAAAAAAGCAAAGGTGTGCTGCAGCCATGTTTAGAAAGGAGCTTTACATTATTTATAATCTAGTACTAGAACACAACACAGTGAACCTGTAGCTGGGGGGAATATGTCTTCCTGTGCAGCCATTGATCTCCTGTTGAGTTTCAAAGGCTTAGTCAGAACATCTCACCAGTGTCATTATTTCAAGTTTGTTAAAATGAAACATCAGAGTCTGACACATCGCTCTCTGTACGTTTGATAAAGCCCGTGGGTGTCCTGTGGTACGTGGGCTCCAGCATGACTCACACACAGTCGGACACCTGTGGAAAAAAACGCTCCATGCAGTTGAGCATTTGAAATATTTGTGAAAATGACTCGAATGAAAAATAACGGCGCTTGCTGTGACCCCAGGGGTCAGTGTTGTTGGTTCAAATGAAACGGCAGGTCCTCCCTCTCAAAGCGTCTGAATGCCCTCCATTTCTCTCTCTCTCAGGTGTTTCACGGTGCCGACTCGGACATTGAGTGGCTTCAGAGGGACTTTGGTCTGTACGTCGTCAACCTTTTTGACACCTATCAGGCGAGCCGAGCTCTCAACCTGGCCAGACATTCCCTCGACCATTTGCTCAAACACTTCTGTAACGTGGACGCAGACAAACGTTACCAGCTGGCTGACTGGAGGATTCGGTATGTTAATAAGCAGGCCGTACGTTTTTATTTTCCTTTCAATTCAGAAACCATTTTGCGTCTCCGCAGTTGGATCGGTTTTATTTGAACTTCTTGACAGAGTCTGCATCAATCGTTTGAATTGGCTTCAAACTTGAATGCTAACCAGCTCTACTAACATCCTCCCTGAACATGTCCCCGCAGCCCCTTACCAGATGAGATGGTGCAGTATGCCCGGACAGACACCCACTATCTCCTCTACATCTACGACTGCATGCGGGCGCAGCTGTTGGACTCCAACCACGGGCGGCCTGGCCTCCTGCAGAGCGTGTGGAACAAGAGCAAAGACGTTTCTCTGAAGGTGTGAACACATTTTTACATGAAAGGAAATTCTTTTTGATAATAACTGTAATTGTTATATATTGAGCACACCTAACTAAAGGCTACACCCACTAACTCTGAAAAGAAATAGAATGTTGTACATATAGATAAAAGCCATAAGTGTCCATCTAGTAACACAAGATATTTAAACAGAGGATATATGTAACTTTTAACTTAATTCGTACTGGTAACACACAAACGTGTACAGTTAATGCTTTTTTTTTTATCGTTGGCACACAAAAATCTGCAAATAAGCTGTTTAAGTAGCAGTGTTCAAACCATTTTGAAAAAAAGTGTCTTATTGTCCAGAAATTTGCAGTGAATGAGAAAGGTGGAGACCATTTTCTTTTGGACATTTGCACACTGAAATCTATATTTCATTATATATACATGTATATATATTTTCCCCATCACTCCCTCCAACAGAAATATGTGAAGCCCATATACACAGAGGAGTCGTATTTGGAGTTGCAGAGGAAGCAGAAGAAGTCTTTCAATACCCAGCAGCTCACTGCCTTCAGACTTCTGTACGCCTGGAGGGACAAGCTGGCCAGGCAGGAGGATGAAAGCACTGGGTAGGTGGGAGTGGAGGAACTGAATTGTCCTGAGATGACCTCAAACCAATTTTATATTGTATAAAGAGCCACCTTTTTCTCGCTCAGATACGTCCTGCCCACACACATGATGAGCAAGATATCTGAGGAGCTGCCTAAGTAAGTTTACACTCAAGTGTTTGTCACTTATACCTTTTGTTGTTGTTATTGTTGTTGTTCTTCAGCAGATGTATTTCGTGTTTTTAATATTTACCTTGCTCTTGATCCTCGTCTCCAGGGAGCCTCAGGGCATCATCGCCTGCTGTAACCCTGTCCCCCCGCTGTTGAGGCAGCAGGTCAACGAGCTACATTTGTTTGTGCAACAAGCCAGGGAAATGCCCCTCCTGAAGGTGAGAAACTATTGATTTACAGCAGGATTGACAGTTTGTGTTTCCCCCCCTCGACTGGGCGTGCCCGAAAGTGTGACCCACTGCAATGTTTTCTACTCTTCACACAGGCTGAGATTGCTGCTCAGAAGAAAAAAGGACTCACACCCAGTAAAAAGGTTGGTTAAAATGTCGGAGAAGCTGTCAGTTTTTCTGGGGGGGCAGATATTAACACATTTGTGCATTTTCCAGCCAGAAGTCACAATGTTCGGCCCGCATGATACATCCCAGACCTCTGAGAGTGACCTCCCCCAATTTTCATATGACGGTAAGCTTAACACGGCTGTTTATTCAACATCTTATTTGACATTTTCCCGGCTGAACTCCTTTTGAAATGTATGTTTTCAGATGCTCCAGTCAAACGGGGGATACTTTTCTCTGAGGATGAGCAGAAAATGGATGACAGCAAAACGAGCGGTCTCCTGGCACCGCCTGTAATCACCCTGTTCCAGGTTGCCGTCATGTTCACATTAGTAGTTTTTCAGCTCGCCTGTTGGTTTGTAACTGATAGGTGATGTTAAAACTCTGCTTCCCCTTGAAGGAGGTGGAAACGAGCGAACAGGAGCAAATCTCGGTAGCTCAGATGAAAGCCAGGCGGATCATCGAGTCCTTTGAAAACCCTTTCAGAATGGTAAGGAATGATCACAGATTAAAATAAACAAAAAACATTGTGTTCTTTGTGCCTCCATTACCTCGACACTCTGTATTCACTGATCTTCCTTCGGAATTTCAGTATTTACCTCCCACAGACGCACACATCAACAAGAATGCCAAGTTTGACCCATCCTCGAAGATTTTTGAGGTCAGAGAAGGGCTTCTTTCAGCACTCAGAAAAAATATCCGTTCGCCGCCTCTTTTAGTGAATGTTTAACTTTTTTTTCCCTCATTAATTTGACAGATTAGCAAAAGATGGAAACTGCAGAGCATCGAACAGCAACAGAAGGAGTTGGACGTCAAGAAGAAGGCCAAAGACGAAGAGAAGAAGCAGGCAAAGAAAGCTATAGGTAACGGGGAGGAGGGCTTTTTTTTCGGGAGTGGGACTTTTTAAAGTCTTTGACCTCACTCTTATTTGCTCTTGATGTCCACAGAAGAAAGAACCAAGGCTAAACAGAGCTATCAGGAGTCTCTCAAGAACGTCGCCACTGTGCGCCAGCAAGCAGCAGTGAGTCACCGGCTCTCCTGTCCTTCAATGTCTTCTTTCCACATCCCTGTTTTATTCACTCCAGAGCCCGAAACGGCTTTTTAAAAACAATTCAGCAATATCCAGCTGCACCCTCTGCAGACAGGCCCCTCCAAAATGCTACTTGTGACTTAAAGTCGCGCCGATTTGCAGTCGTAGTCTTTGTTTTTAATATTCCCGTCTGTCACGTAATGTGCCACGGGAGGGAGGCGGCACAGCATGGGGCTGAGCCCACAGACATGTGCTCTCTACCCATCAGACACATTTCTGTTCTCCCGGGGAGAAACAGTTGCTTCTTCTCAAAAGCCCCCTTGCTGTTAGATCCATCTCCACTGGGATATTACTTGGTCTGCTTGGTTACTCGTGTGACATAGCGTTGTTTTTTCAATAATCAGCCAAAAGTTTCTTGTTCATAATACTAGCTGAGCAAGAATGAATAGTGATCACCGCCCTGCCAGCTGTACCCCCCCCCCCCTTCACTTTCCTCCCTGCATCATCGTAATCCCTTTTGTGATTACCGTCCCAGAGAATCCAGGCCTATTGGCTCTGGCTGGTGACCTGCGTCATTATCAGAAATGTTGGAAGCAGCACTTGATAGCGCAGCGCAAACAGTCCCTGTCAGCTGGCCAAAGTTAGCTTGTCCAGGTTGATTTTTTACAGCTCCCATGATTGACATTGTTACGAAAGGTGCATCTGCTGAGATCAGGCCCCACCAGTGTGCGTTTTCCCTTTTCCATTATTCAGGTTTCCGTCGAGTCGGGTTTCTGTCATCCTGAGGAGGACAGTGAAAGGTTCAGTTTAGTGTTTTGTCGTCATTATGACATAAAAGAAAAAAATAGAAAACTGTAATCGTTTTTTCATCCTCAATGGGGGAAATGACCGTATTAAAAACACGTTGGAGACATCAGCTAAAGGAAGAAGACATCACAGGATGGAGCTCAATGGATCATTTAGGCTGTTCAGTTAAAACGGATAACTACCTTTTTCAACTACAATCCAGCGCTTTACCTGGCTGCTCCCTTAATTATGGGGTCATTGTGCTTTAAAGCAATGATGAAAAATGCTGCCATATGACCATTATTATTTTCTCTTTTCATCAAACAGGTTTCTTCATTGGTCTGACCAAATGCCATCATGTGTAACCCTACTGATTAAAGCAAATGCAGAGATTCTTTAAACTGAATGTAATGTAATTTGCCAATTTCACCAGGAGGCTGCTAAAGGAAACCAGAAGAAAAGAGAGAGGGTTGAAAGTGAGGTTGGAGAGACGACTCCCAAACCAAGCAAGAAGCTGCTGACCTCCGGAGAGAAGCCCCAGAAGACGGAAGCGCCTCCGCAAGAAAGCTTCAAGCCCTTCGACTACAGTCAGTCAGACCTCAAAGTCTTTTCCGGTAAGCATATACAGTCATTATACTGCACCAGCCAAATCTTATTTTTTCATCCACAGTTCATAAATATGAAATAAGTTAATTTAAATTATTCTTTTATGTATTTATTTCCTTACAGGAGCCAAACCAAATGACAACACACAGTTTGATCCAAACCGGCAAGCTCATGGCTTTAAGAAAAAGGTGGCTTTTGATTATAGTCCAACATTCAGTTCTATTCCTAACTATATGCAGATTAATATTAATGGTTTGTTATCCTCCTCCCCAAAAGAAAACTCCTCAGGGACAAAAGAACAATTTTGCAGCTGGAAACAGAAGTATGACGTACCTGCCGGGCAAATCGGACAGGTGAATATATTCAGAGCAGCTGGTTTCTTTGCTTCTGCAAATTCAAACATCCTTCTGAGTTAACCTTCTTCCTTTTTTTTTATTCCCTACAGAGGATTCCGGCATAACTGGCCCAAGAGATAGACTCTTTAATGCAATTTTCTTTCTTGCCTCAAATTGGCTCACAGACTCAGTGTTGTCTTTCCTTTTTTTTCCTTTGTAAAAAAAGGGAACATTAATATTTCAGTTTTTTCAAAGTGTATTTTCTCCATGTGAAACAGTTTGTCCTGTAAATATGTGGAACCACAACACTTCTTTATTAAAGGTTTTTAGAGGAGTGTGCTACTGTCTTTTTTTTCTGTTTTTTTTAAAGAATTTATGAATTTAAGATGCTAGTTAGGACGTGTTGTGTGTTGATATTGAGCAATACCTAAGCATGTGCATGCCAGACTGTGGCTGCTGGATTTGTTTTTTGGGAATTTTCTATAAGTAAGATGGAGTAATTTGTGCCCATGAACAAAACCAGTTTATTCAGAGTGTAGCTTTCTCTATATTTGATGGTCTCAAGAGAGTTTCTTTAGCAGATATTTAGGTGTTGCTATACATTATGTAACCTGTTTTAATTAAATCAGCCAATCTTATCCTCACAATTCACATAGCAGAGTTAATCTCTTTTCTCCAGAGATAGTGATTTAAATGAATGATCTGGTCCCAACAGCTGCTCTATTCAACACTGGCGGGGTTAGTTTTCTGATCATGTACATATATTTAACGTTATCCTTGTAGACATCCCAATCCCTGTTCTTCAACAAAACGTGTTGTTTGTGAATACAAACAAATAAACACAGTTAACTTCCATGGATAGCTATTTGAATGAATAAATGGCTATTTCTGCCTTTCAGATTGTTGCTTCATGTTTTCCCCTTTTTTAAGGATAGATTTGTCACCATTGTCCCAATTTCTGCGTGGTCTCTTAATATAAAGGTAATTCCTTAAGTATGGCCATATAAATCAACAAAGCAACGCATCTTTCTAAATACATAGCACAGGAAATATCTTCATGTAGGGGAAAAATGCAAGACACGACGAAATAAGCTGTAAAATCGTTATTAAAATATCCCAAAAGCTAATCAGAGCCACAGATAATTGTAATAATAGATTCTGAAATTAAACAATTGAAATAAGGAATAACCCAGACACATGTATGGTTGCGATACGGTGTCCCGTAAGGGTGAAGCTTCGGTCGCACATGCGCAGTGGCGCCGTGCAGGAGTTTACCTCCTTGTGGGAGAGACTCGCAAGGCGGTGCTGCTGCTAGTGGCGCTTCTGGTGCGACGTCAAACAAACTACATAGGGGACCGGTTCATGCCGCCACGCTATTGGTCCGCACGGACTCGAGTGGCATACGTCGCAAGCGCCTCATTCGTCGTAGCGGGAGACAGCAAGTTTAGCTGTCAGGAGACGGCTTTTGTCGTAACTTGCTCACATTGCCACACTTCCAAACACGTTAGTGCTGCTTGTGGCCGTGGCTGGAGGCAGCTGTCATGGACCACATTAAAGATGGGTGGTTTACGGAGTCCTGCGCGCTGTGGCCGGGGCAAGCGTTGAGCCTCCAGGTGGAAGAAGTCCTCTACCACAAGAAATCCAAGTTTCAAGATGTTATGGTTTTCAAGAGGTGAGCGATTTTTGGCCCCAAACTTGGCTAATGTTGCTAACGTCTCGCAGTGTTCTATTTGCACTGATTGATCAACCCGGAGGTTTCATTTTCTTTCCTCCGCGTGCAAGAAATGTGCAAGTTTGCCACGTATTGGACACGTATGATTTCAACTTAACCCTAAAGGAGTATTTTTAAACCATGCTGTCAGGCAGATTTAGAAATGTCAGAAATATAAAGTGGTGGTTAAGCCTCAGGTTGTGAAAGCGTGCCCCATGATTTGCTCTCAACCTTGTTTTTTTCCTTCCTTTTTTTCTCTTTAACATTTTTTTTATTATTTTTTTTTTAAGCAAAACCTACGGAAACGTGTTGGTGCTGGACGGAGTGATCCAGTGCACGGAGAGAGATGAGTTTGCATACCAGGAAATGATTGCCAACCTTCCCCTGTGCAGCCACCCCTGCCCCAAGAAGGTATTGGTTGTGAAATTCTCACCGTGAATCTGTCCACGTTTGTTGTCACCCCTTGCCCACGTCTCTCCTTTCACAGGTCCTGGTTATAGGTGGAGGAGATGGCGGTGTGCTGAGGGAGGTGGTGAAGCATCCACTGGTGGAGTCGGTGATTCTGTGCGAGATAGATGAGGTGGGAGCAGTAACACTGAGAATGATTGTGCATTTTCACCACTGCCATTAGGCATCAATACAGACATGAGGATTAAGCGCCTCTTAAAGTTAAGCGAAGGCGGCGCAAACGTTGGAAAGAGAACCGCTTTAAGGCAAAACTTCTTCTGAATGCGAAAAGTTATCGATGTTGTCTCAAAACACCATGCTACGGTTATTATTTTTTATTCATTTGAGCGTTCTGTAACTGACATCTGATGCTATCTGCTCTGCAGGATGTCATAAATGTTTCAAAGAAGTTCCTCCCTGGAATGGCCAAAGGCTTTTTCAGTCCCAAGCTCACCCTCCATATTGGCGACGGCTTTGAATTCATGAAGCAGAACCAGGACGCCTTTGACATCATTATAACCGATTCTTCAGATCCAGTCGGTACGTGCTGCTCTTTGAGTACAGCTCAGTTTAGATTGTTCTTTGTTATTCTTTCAAAGGATATGCTCATTTGGTTATTCTGTTTATTTTGCTCTTGCAGGACCTGCTGAGAGTTTGTTCAAGGAGTCTTACTATCAGTTGATGAAAGCAGCTTTGAGAGGTGGTGGAATTCTTTGCTCCCAGGGTAAGTTGGAGAAAAGAAACTGAATTATTTTCAAAACTTTAAGTGAATTTACAGCTGTGAATTGAAAAGAGGCTTTTCCTTTATCCAGTCTATACTCATGTGTTATGTTATATAGTCTTATTTTGGCGTGGGGGTTTGCTTTTATTCTTCACTATTTATAGCCTTTTTTCTGTCAAGTGTTGGATTAGCGCATGACAAAAAAAAGGAGGGATTTTCTTTCATTCATTTAACCTCCATTTTTCAGGAGAGTGTCAGTGGCTCCATTTGGAGCTGATAAAGGAGATGCAAACCTTCTGCAAGACCCTATTCCCGGTGGTGGACTACGCTTACAGCACCATCCCGACTTACCCCAGTGGTCAAATTGGATTCATGCTCTGCAGCAAAAATCCCGTGAGTGTTCCTGTCACTCACCAGCTGTCACCCGCCGCACACCTGAGTATTGATGGATGGCTCTGAATTGCCCCTGGCTTATTTTAAAAGCATTTCTCGGGGCATTCTTTTGTCCATTCTTTTAAGTTGTAATCAACTGGAGTGGGGAAGAAAAATCAGCTCTTCTTTATTTTCTTGGCAGGAAACGAGCTTCAAGGAACCTGAGAAAGCACTGTCAAAAGAAGAAATGGAAAGTATGAATCTCAAATACTACAACCCTGAAATTCACAAAGCCTCGTTCGTCCTTCCTGAGTTTGCAAGAAAGGTTAGTTTCGGATCGGCTTCACACCGAGCACTGGCAGAGATGCCGTCCAGAACTCGCCACCCACGTTTTTGTCTGTGCCTTCTTGATCATTAACAGGTACTCAGTGAAGCATGACCGCCACGTTCCTCCTCAACCGGGCCCTCGCACCGCCGATTAAAGCAACCTCATTCTACCACGTCCCCACCTCATCTGCATAGGTCAGCAGCACCGAGAGAAACCAGGTGGTGGGAACTTGCCGAGTCATTGTCGTGTCAGTGTTTCCTTCCTTCAGTCTCATGCGCTCTTGGTGTTTATTTATTTCTCTCATGTATTAGGGTTTTCCTTCTACCTGTAAATGTCTGTTCAGCATTATGCAGAGAGTACTTTGATGGGCTGCTGTGAGTGGGAAGAGCATCACCATCAAAGCTGACCTCATTTTGAAAAACGGTTTACCGGTTATCCGACTGTTTGTCTCTACACATTATGCAATATGTTACGTACCATATAGAGTATATAAACTGTTTACCTGTCATGTCTCGCTGCACATTTATTCAGTGTGTTTGGTATCCGTACGTGCTCAGTGGGGGGAAAAAAGTGTGCATTGTCCATCTGTGACGATCGAGGCATTCAGGTTACTTGTCATTCAGTACACGAAAACTATAGTGCCTGATATTTGTAGTCTGAAATAGCAGGAGAAAGCTGTGTCTGTTTCTATCATAAGGTACCAGGAAGGTAGTAACATACACAAAAGCTGAAGAGATGGGAAAATCCTCCTTTTTTAGAATATCACTAAAGTAAGATGAAATAGATTTAACTGATCAGCTTTGTCAGTTTGAAATAAAAATGTCTTAGTGTTAAAAAAAGAATCAAATATGCTAATGGAGCTTTGCTATGCCACAAAATGTTTTTCTTTTTTAAAAATGTAATTCATTATGCAATCATAACTAGCAGAATTGAGTACTGACCACTGATAGTAATCCTGCGCTGTAGTAAACTCACACTAGTACTACAGAACGATGATCGTTTCTCTCCATGTGGAAATCGTATGTTTGTATCGGTTGTTGTAAAAGATAATTTACGACGTAATTGTTCATTCTTTGTTAAAGAATGGATTTGTGTTTTTATAAGAATTCTAATCTGTAATAAACTGGTAATGCAAATTCATTCAATTTTGGCTTTGCGTTTCTTAAGAATATGGTCATTTGAAGAAAAAAAGCACAAAAATGACCCAGCCTCTGACAAAAAGGCTGAACTGAACTCGTATCAGTTTCCAACAAAGGAAACTGATCTTTGCAGCTGGATGGTGAAGTTCAAATGAATGTAATTTCCATTTTCAGCCAGAGGGTGGCATCCTGTTGCCGGTTTGATTCAGTTGCTCAGACGTCTGACAGCAAAATAATAAAATATGCATGTCTATTGTGCAGTTTAGATTCACTTGACTGAAAAGCCCCTTTGGCTGCAGTGAATTGCTCAATTGTGTAATTTTCCATTAGAAAGTGTGACTGTAGCTCTGTTTCCACTCCGTTGCATCAACCCCAGTCACTGCTGAAGACGTTCCCTTTCTGGTTTTCCAGTTAAAAGTGACTATTGTCACGATGTCTTGAAGGTGTGTGTGTACTCACTTCTGCACCAATGAACTACTAGTATTATGTCACCTTCCAAAATTGCTTTAAAATAAGTAGTTGTGAATACATGATTTGATGATTTTCTTCTCATGATAAAGCTTTAAAGTGAATACATGGAACATATTTTCTTGCTGACATCGCACGGTTCCAATGCAGCTAAAAAGGGATCCACATGTCCAGGTTCACCTCCTCATTAGGTAACATGAGCATGAACACATCAACACTCCTCGGTGATCCCTTTCACAGAGCTGTTGAGTAGATGATGACCGTGCAGTACACGAGATGGAAAAAATAAAGAAACCAGTCCACATTAATCACATTTATACTGTATCTTTACCAGCACCATATTGATGGCTCTCACTGTTTGATGTCTTTTACCAGCTTGCCTCCAGTTACCTTTAAGGTTGCAGATTAATCTGACACACTCAACTGCCAATAACGTTAACAATTCAGCAGTCAGCTAATCTTTGTATTAGACTCCAGGCTTTGCTCACATCAGAAGAAAATATCCAGAAAACTGTTGCGAAAGCATGATAAACCCATTTGAACTGATCAAACGGGCCATACAGCTGCTCTATGTTCCCAACCAATGGCAAGAGAGTAAACGTGGTCAAATCTTTTGATTGTGCTTAGCCACACATAAGTCTCAGAGGTCGACATCAGCTTACCAAACCCTTCATTTCCCCCAAATTGGCTTTCCACAGTCATTTTAGCTAGAGGAGGTACTTCATATAGTAAATTAAACTAAACCGTATGTTGTGACGTAAGGAAAAGAAGTTGCTTTTAAAATAAACCATGCAAAGATGGCCTAGATTTGATGTAAACTGCACATCACTGTCTGTATCTCTACTACTGTAACCACTGAGTGAGTTGAGAAAGAACTAAGGCACAGATGGCAAGGTAAGGATGAAATATTGTTTTCAATATTTGAAACAAAATGTGTGACTTGTTTTTGCTGTTTTAAGTAAAGTGAAAGGGTCTGGGTATTCCAAGAGATGTTCAATCGACACGGTGACAAAAGGCCAGACTATCAATTACACTGGCCCAACAATTACCAACAATACCATAGACAGCAGTTTCTGACTCATTTTTCCCACCGTTTTGAAAAGATTAGCAAAATAGTCATTCAAAAAAGTTTAGAGAAGCTTCATCTCTGGAAAACTGAAAGTGATCTCTAAACTGAAGGATCGATTGGCACTAAGGCTTGTTGTCAAAGCCAAATCTGCACGGTAAGACCTTCATCATACAATTTGGTTTCAGATATTTGCAGAAACACCCGAATACAAATCGTGTACGCCTTGGAAATAAGACGTGAACAAAATGGGTTAAAAAGAGGAAGATCAGGCAGAGAAAACATGCAAAACTAAAAAGCCTTTACAAAATGTGATAACTGATAATTGGTTAGTACTAAAAATCAGATTACACAGGATGCCAACACTTTTAGAACTTGAAAAAATGATGTGAATGAATTACAAAACATTACAAAAAAATACAATTTTAAAAGGGTAGGGATTTTACATAAAATGGAAGATAAACGCTAAAAAGATAAACGCTCTATTCGCAGATCCCACTAATCAATGTTTCATTGACAATGGAAGATTGAAAAAAACTGTTGCTTATTTGAGTAACATGCAAAATGTTTCACAAAACTGAATCCTTCTTTTACAAAAAATACATAAAACCTGACCACGTGAGTGATGAACTTCAGCCTTTACATGCTGCACAGGATACTTAATAGCTGTATTTGCTAAACTGATGCTCCAGTAAGATAATGTTTTTAATCCATCCATCCATTTGTTATACCCTTTTGTTCCATGTAGATTCATGGAGGGCTGGTGCACCCTGAACAGGTTTCCAGTCCATCACAGGGCCTCACAGAGACGTGTAATTTAACCCGGCCAGCGTGGTTTTGGACAGTGGGAGGGAGCCTGAGTTACAGGAGAGGACTAAGGCCCGCACATGGATAAAGAAATAAGAGTTAGCTATAACATCAATGTACACAGAAGATCATCAAAAGCATTTTGACCTTTTGCATCGTAAAACATAATCCACCTGCACACGCTGCCATCATGTAGGAGGACAACGTGATTCCATTAAGAAAATCAAAATAAATATGAAATGAATCATTGAATTGAATTAAAGCTGTAAAGACATAATCCACCATGTGATTAATGTTACTAACTTGTTACCACCGTGCAAAGATGAGGAGGTGATTCCCTTATTTACGATAACTATTTTCACGCTCCAGACTTGAGATGTGCGTTTCTTAAAGAGCTTTCCTCACATCATGGGGTGTCAGACCGCTCAATTGCAATCTGCAGGTGTCAAAGAAGACATAGAGGCGACGTGACGGGAATCAGATGTTGCCTAAAGTCAAATGCCAATCATTAGGAAAATATCATCAAGCCGTGGTCAGTTTGCATTTCTTTTTGACAACTTCAATCGCTGCTGCCAGGAAATGAGATCCTTTTGTTCAGAACGCAGTCGACTGTTAAAGCACAACATTTAAGTTCCCAAAGACAGGTGATGGACCCATTCCCTGTCCTGATGACACTGGTTCTGTGGTCGAGATGGATACATTTTTGGATAAATTCTTTGAATAAAAAAGTGTAAAAACCGGATGGTGGACCGGTGACGTCGGTGCTCCCTGCAGATGTTCCTGTCTCATTCATCACATGAACGCCACCACTTCACAATTTTTCAAAAAGGTTAACTTTCATTGGTTCCATTTGTTGCGTCCTGACCCCTTCATCTCCCCTCCTCTTTCACGCTCACGTACTCACACCCCCGATGGCATGCACACATCCACCCCTCCGTCACACACCCACCACCCTCGACGTCAGTGGCAGACCGAGGGGAGAGGCGTATAAAAGAGTGAGGGACTTTTGAGGTAGAGCACCAGAAACATTTGTGGTTTCCAGACGACCTGACGAGCAGCTGCACCTGCACTGCACTTTTCTCCACTTCTCTCCTTCTGGAACCTCTGACCACTCCGAAGCTGCTCGCGCTCTCTCTTGCTCTCTGCCAACCTTCTCGTCCTGCTTCTGTAGCTCTGGTGCCGCACTCCTGTCACAGCATGCAGCTCCTGGTGGTGTTAGCGGCTCTCATGGGGGTTCTGTTCAGTGTTAGAGCAGCTGCCGTGCTTCCTGTGGACGACAGGAGCCCCGTCCACGTGAACAGGGTGAGGCCATTATCATCTTCCCTCTTTGGTCCAGCTGAGCTTTTTTTCTTTATTACACAAAACTTCTGTTATTGGTAAATTTGAAAGGATACATTTTGAGAAAAAAATCTTGTAAATAGTTTAGATTTTAAAGTGAAATGAACTGAATAATCACTGATTTTTCTATAGCACGCATTTAATGTAATAATCTGTTGATACATTTTTAGCAGGGGGAGATTTTTCATTTCTGTGGTTTTGAAAATCATTTTCCCTCCTCCTCTTTTTCTTCTTCAGGAGCTGAGCAAAGAGCGCAAGGAGCTGATCCTTAAGCTGGTGTCCGGCTTGCTGGACGGAGCTCTCGACACCAACATGCTGCCGGGGGAGGCTGCGCCCGTTGATCTGGAGGAGCCGCTGGAGTCTCGCCTGGAGGAGAGGGCTGTGTACAACCGGCTATCACTGCCCCAGCGCGACCGCAAAGCCCCTTGTAAAAACTTCTTCTGGAAAACTTTCACCTCCTGCTAACAGTACTGGAAAGCCCCCGGCTCTGCCCACCTCCCGTACCCCCTTCCCCCCCCCCCCCCCAGCTCTACATGAACTGTAGTAGACCTCAGATGTACATATCATCCACACACGTGCATCATCGATGGACTTCGCTGAGACAGTGCGTCTGTTTGAATATTAACTATTTATGTATACAATGTACGTATTTATGTATCAGTTTCCTTCAGGGTCAACAATAAAGCATGGATATAATATTTGGGATGGTAACAGTTAAATGCTTTCACCAATTGTTAAAAAACAACAACAACAGAACAGTCATGTTTTCCACCTGCTTCAACAATATAAATACATATTCAAAATCAATGCAAAAACTATGGCTGTATTTTTATTTGTGTTTGTGACTTAGATATCTTGGAAACTGTGGGCGAAAATTAAGGACTTTGTTGTGCGAAAATATATTTATATCTATGAAAAACTGAGAGCAGATGATAAATGGCACGCCAAGAAGACACCATTTTTCATACTCTCTATTAAAGAGATTAAAAAGATTATTTTGTTTCCAGTTCATTGAGGAGTTGACAAAAAACAAAGTAAAACGAAAAGTTGAAATGTTGCCCCTTTGATTAGAAAGAGGCAGAATCTAACATTTGAATTTTAACACAAGACGAAAACCAAAATTCTATTCATGAATCAACAGCTGAATTCAAGAGTGAAAAAAGCTCTGTCACAATGCTTTTAAAATGAACGTGAAAACAGACTCAACTCGATACGATGACAGTGAGCAATGTGAAAGAATTCCACATGTCACTTTTATTAGTTGCCAGTAAACAGTCCTAATTAATTCATAGTCACAGGTTAAGGGAGACGCCTCGGTGACCTATCACAGGTCATTAAACTTGTCAGCGGGATACAGAAGTGAATAAATCTGAGGTTCCCCACATTCCCTCGTGCCTCCCGTCTCTCAGTGTTGCTGCAGCACAGCATTTCCAGCACACCAGCGGCCCCAAAACAGGAAAGTTTCTCTGCCGCTAATTAAACGGGGACACGTTTGTCTCTGAGACAAAGGTCTGGGCTGGTTTGAGTAAAAAAAACAGAGAGAGGTGTCCACCGAGCCGATGTCAGTGAGACCTGTTTGATAGAAAAAATACACAGCCGAGGCTTCTGTGGCGTGTGGAGATAATGAAGCGTTCCCCGTGTGACCCCATCAGCTTGCTTTGTGATTCCTGAAGTAAACAGGATTCAAGTTGGTCACCGGCTGCTTTGTGCTCAATCAGTCTCACTACAATTACTCCACGCCCTCACAGCCCTTCTGGTATGCACAGCCACTGTAGTTTGTTTGTCCTTCTGTGAGACAGACCACTGAGTGGACGCTGGCCACAATCAGGCACTGATATTCAGCTTGGGCCCAAAGTCTCTTTTAAAGACCTGTTGGATATCCATCAGATATGATTTAAACATACAGTTTTTTGTTGCAGTGAATAAATCCCACGCCATCAAATCAGGCTTCACAACACTGAATATTCAGATGAAATTGCTTTAGAAAACTCTTTGATGCATTGTTCTTATATATAAAACTTTTTTACCGTCTATTTTTTAAACTGTGTAATGAGAGAACTCTTTGTGAAAACATTATTGAGTGAAATGTGGTTGAGAAGCAGAGCAGATCAAAGACCACATGTATGCTTAATGTACTGTTTTAGAATTCCACCTCTGACGAATAAGACACTCATGTAAATTTACATAGAACATTTATCGTTCACCCCAGTGATGCCACACCAGCGGGAAGACAGAACTCCTTTGGCTTGGCTACCGTTTTGTCATCTCACTGCACACAGGAACAGCAGCTAATTATTCATCATCGTGATGATTTAACGCTCACAGTTCAGATTCAATTACGGGTTGTACAATGAAGGTTGTGTTTAGGACAGATTTCTTCTTACTTAAGCCGCATGTTCATGTTTAAGATGGATGGAGAAAAAATGAAAACACAGGCCGAGCCTGTTTGTCCACGAGATCTTTTAAAGATCCTCCTTGATGGTAAGTAATTGTGCACTGAATCTCCACGCTGAATAATTACACGGTTCTCACATCCACTTGGAACTCTGCTCTTCTAATGATGCTGAGCAGACAAAGGCTCCTTTGAGTTTACCTAATTACAGTTCATTGCATATTACCGTCCATGCTTATGTACAATTAAAAGAAAGGAAACAAAACAGAATTGTCAGGTACTGACGTGTAAGTAATAGACCAAAATTGTTTGGTGGTATGCAAGCACAAATTAAAAAAAAAAAGCAATATGTCAGATATAAAAAAATGTTTTATTTCTTAAGAAGCAATAATCAGCATCTCCGCATTGACTTATAAACATGAAACAATTCCAAGTGGAGAGAGACGCTGTCCACTCCTGACTTTATGCCTCTGAGCTCAAATGAGCACGCCGAGGAGCAACATCAAAGCCGATGGCTGCAAGCAAAGCATTTTATTGGCTTTCCTTTTGATCTGAAGGAGGTGGAGGGAAAGGAGTGCTCGACCCTAACTGTGTAATTCAAATTTAAATGTGACTTCATATGTGCCGGTGTTTAAAAATAACAAAGACTCTGGTAGTGATGCTCCACCTCATAAAAGGAAAAGAACTTCAAAGTGAGCTCAGCGTGGTAACATATGCACCGAATAAACTTTATGGGATGTGACTGATTTTTGTTGAACTTTGTCTGGTGTTAAATAATGATATTTGGAATATGGTTATTACTGTTCCATGTGGGATGGTTTATTTTGTTTCTCTTATAGAGAAGTAGGGAATACTTGCTCTTGCACACATTTTACATTGTAAACATTACACATTACATATGTGGTACAATGATGATATATCATCAAATATTTGTGTTGTTCCCAAAATACTATCAAAATAAATCAAATCAAATTAATAAATCAATCAATTTTTGTCACATACATGCCATTATATGGTACAATGCAATGAAATGCTTCTTTTTAAGAAGAAAGTTAACAAAAAATAAAAATCTTGGTTAAAATGATGCGAAGTCAAAAGGGAAACATTGAGTTAGACTCCAGAAAATCATACATTGCTGGAGATCATGAACCCCCAGAGCAATAAAAATGTGTTTGACTGTAGTTTCTTTTTGGCTTGTTTGTTTGTTTTAAGCATTCTTGTAAAATAATCGATGAGAACATCTTAGGAGGAGAAGTTACCTTTATACACACAAGAGATTTCTGGATAAAAGTTGATTGTTCTTGAGCAAATATCTATATCTACTGACCCCCCTCCCCCCCCACGCCCACACACACACCACCCCCATGTTTAATGCAGTCTTATCGCCCACTGTCTCAGACTTGCTTTTCATTTAGATTGCAAAATATATTCATTGACCGTTTTGATGGGCTTATTTCTATTCCACTTTACTAAAGACCAGAAAAGGAAAAAATCATCTGCTTTTACCAAAGTAGGTAAACGAGAGCAGTCAGGTATGAAGACACCATACCAAAATACATACCAAAAAGCTTTAAAATGACCCGTCAATCCGTCTAAGTGTCTAAATTAAATTCCGTCTCTCTGAAAGGTGACACTAAGATCTCAGAAAAAAGAGCATTCCCAGTTCTTGTGTAATTTAATAATGGCTGTGTTGTCAGAACAAGTGTAAAGCCCAACGACAAGATAGCAGCTTTGACATTCATGAAAACATCTTGCTCGAGACTGTGTGTGTGTTGCTTAGACTCATTAAAACTCCGGTCTCAGAGTTTGGGCTTGCATTGTGTGAGAAATGCTTCCTCTGAGCTGGATTTGATGTTTGACAAACTGTTAACTCAGTGTCACTTCTGTCTACCTCATGCCCTCCTCTTTTTCACTTGTCAAGTGGCTCTTTTGGTGTCTTTTCTGTCTGCCATGCGCCTGATGACTGACGCTCCTTTCATGTGTTATCTCCTTTTCCATCCTCTCAGTCTCATAAAAGGATGCAATTATAGGCAAACTGAAATAGATCCTGTTTTGTATATTTATCGTCTTTTTTCAAAACGGTTAGCTCAGACATAGGTACTATTTCAAACATGACCGTAGATGTCTGGTGTGTGTCTTCTGTGTTTGGTTCTGCGTTGTTTTTAAAATGGTAGAGGAATAGAGGATAGTTAGTAAAATGAAAGATGGAGAGTCCTAAACATGATATCCATATCACAAATAAACACATAATCAGACTCAAGCAGTCCTGTGATTTGCTTTGGAAGCAGTAGTTATCCGAGCCATGCTTAGCCGGTGAAACGCGTTCCAGTGGTCGAGGAACCAGACTGGGACACAGTTTCATTCCTCTCAGTGCAACCATTATCACATCTTGCGACTTCCTGCCTGAGCAACTCTCCTGCCTGTGCCTCCCTCCCCGTCCCGCCTCTGCTGTGACCTCCTAATTGAGGCCTCCTGATAGGTAGCTGCATTATCGGGTGTGTAAGCCTTTCCTTTTTAAACAGTTGATTGCTGAGCATCATCATTTGCCTAATGAAGGGTTTGAAGGTGGAAGCCTGAAGAACCCGAGCTTGGGCCTGTTATGATGGTGAGTGGTCATCAGCTCTTTTCCATCAGCCGAGTGATGATGAGCCAGCCTAAGTGTAAGTTTACACACTGTGGGTTCCCAACCTCCAGTTACTTTTTAGTTTAGTTTCTGCCCAGTATTGTTTTTTTTCACTATGCTTAACTCTCTGTTAGCTTTTTGCTTAGTACAGTGTTGCCACCATCTTTTTACTTGTGTGTTTCTCTAGTTATGTTACAGCCTGTGTTGTTCTTTTTTTGTTGATTATGTTGTGTTGTTTCTTTTTATTTTAGTAGAGCATTACATTGTTAAGCACTGGCAGAGAGGTATAAGAGCAAAGGCACTGAATCTCAAATATAGACTGTACCATGCAATGTGAGGATTGAGCGCAACTGATCAGTGGGAATGGCCTTGCACACCTCAATGTAATTTGCCAGGTATAATCTACTTCCCTATTTCTGTTGGTTCTAGGGCTTTTTAAAATATCTATCTTAAAAACACAATTTATGTTACATAAAGGAAAAATGACTTGTTTCAATTTTTTTATGAACAAACACATAATTTTTACCAACATTTCTTATTTGATATTTTCATTATTTTCCCCTCAGTGGCTCCAGCCATGCTAGACTCCTTTTGATTCAAATAAAAATGATCATCTTATTGTTTGTGCCTCCCCAGTATAACCTGGTGTGTGTTTTGTACCAAAGTCTGTATTGGGGTTAAATTCCTCTTGTCTTTCCCCCTCATCACAACATGTTTCATAGCATTTTCTCTGCGTATATTTTTGTGGTCAAGGGGTCACGTTTAGAGATATAAAACAAGATGAGATATAGATTAAGATTATGGCAAATAACATGTTTTAGCTTAGTCATTAGAAAGAACATGGTTGAAGATATGAAAGGCTTCCATTAAAATTGACAGTGTCAGAATATCCACTTTATTTCTTGGCTCAGCCTCCTTTCCAAAATAGACAAAACTGCACACATGAACC